GCATTGTCGTTCTCGTCCACCACGAGGAGGCGGACGGTGACGTTGGTGCTGAGGGGAGGGGACCCCGCATCAGTGGCACTCACCAGCACCTCAAGCTGCCTCACCTGCTCATAGTCCAGTGGACGCAGCACAAACACATGTCCGTTCTCTGAGTTCACGGAGATGCAGGAGCAGGGGTCCAGCTCAGTGGGGTGCACAGGCCTCAGGGAATAGGTCACCTTGGCATTGAGTCCTGCATCTGAGTCCGCTGCACTGACAGCCCCAACAAGCACTCCAGGGATATTGTTCTCTCGCACAAACATGGTGTACGATGTCTGGTTGAAGACAGGGGCATTGTCATTGACATCGGAGATGTTCACCATGAAGGTCCGGGTAGTGGTGAGAGGAGGAGATCCTGCGTCTGCTGCTGTGATGACCACAAGGTACTGAGCTGTCTCCTCCCGATCCAATGTGGTCGCTGTCACTAACTCATAGTAATTCTTATAGGCTGACCTCAGGGAGAAGGAGAGCTGGTCTTCAAGGGCACAGCTGATCTCCCCATTCACACCAGAATCCCGGTCTCTGATAGCAAATACAGCGATTACTGTCCCAGGCTCTGTGTTCTCGGGGAGGGAGCTGCTGAAGGAACTCACCACCACCTCTGGTGCATTATCGTTCACATCCATCACCTCCACGACTACATTGCACATGGCCGATATGCCCCCACCATCAGTTGCCCGCACACTGAGCTCATATTTCTGTGTGGTCTCAAAATCCAGGGGCTTTGTGACACGAACTTCACCACTCACAGTGTCAATGGTGAATGGCAAGTGGTTCTCACCCAGTGATTGGCTGAACCTGTACGTGATGTCACTATTCAGTCCCACGTCTGTATCAGTAGCCATGACATTGAGAACCACAGTGCCCATTGGGGCATTTTCCAAAACCCGACCAATGTAAAGCTTCTGTGTGAAGGTAGGAGCATTATCATTTACATCTAGAACTACGATGTGGATTTGGGTGGTCCCGCTCCTAGGTGGAGAGCCACCGTCTGTAGCAATGAGACTGAAAAGCAGTTCTGGCTGCTCCTCTCTGTCGAGAGGCTTTTCCAATACCAATTCTATATACTTGTTACCTTCAGCCAGACTCTCAGAGGAAACACTAAAGTACTCGTTCTCGGGAGAGATAGTGTAAGCCTGGATGCTGTTGCTGCCAACGTCCAGGTCCTGAGCCGCCTCCACGGGGAAACGCGAGCCAGGGGCGCTGGTTTCCAAGATCTGAAAAGTGACTCGTTCCTCGGGAAAGACCGGCGAGTGGTCGTTGACGTCCTCCACGGCCACCTCGACACGAAAGAACTGCAGCGGGTTTTCCAGCAGGAGCTCGAAGGCGAGCGTGCAGGTAAGCGAGCGGCCGCACATCTCCTCGCGATCGAGCCGCTCCGCCAGGACGAGGCGGCCGGTGGCGCGCTCTAAGCGAAAATGCTGCCGGCCGTCCGCGGAGGCAATGCGTGCCCGGCGAGCCGACAGCTGCGCCGGCGTCAGCCCCGCGTCCTCCGCCACGTTGGCCACCACGGAGCCGCTCTCCCCCTCCTCGGCTACGGAGTAGCGGATGGGCTCGCAGCGAACGCGCGGCACGCACAGCAAAGCACACAGACAAAGCACTTGCCTTGCAGACGCCATGGCGGGGCGGCGGACACCCTCCGTCTGCCGCAGTCCTCCGCGGGAAGCGGCGCCCGGCAGCAGCGCGGCGCCAAGGGCGGGCGCCCTCCCTCGCGGCCTCCCTCTCTCCCTCTCGCCGAGCTCGGCTGGCGGCCCGCAGCGCGGCACTCCGGGACCGGCAGCGGCTGCTGCGGAGGACGCCGCGGACGACCGCTCGCCGCCGCCTCCCGGCTGCGCTGCGCTGCGCTGCGCTGCGCTGGGCTCGGCCGCCTCCCCGCTCGCAGCCGCTCGCCGCCGCCTTGGCCACGAGCACCACCCTGCGGCCTGCGGCGGGACTGCTCCGGGACGGGACGCGCTCCTGGCCGCCGACTCGCAGCCTTTCACAAACGCCGGTGTTCGGGTGTTCTTCCCATGTCACCTTTACAGGAAAGTGTGTCCTGCGTGGCCGTGATGCAGCGTATGACTGCAGCGCAAAGCAGCGTGAGCTTTTCCAAATGTTCAGTGCCATACCACCGTTGTTCCACCAACCTGTTCACCTGTTCTTCTGCCTGTGGTGACAGTCCTTCTTCAGGGCAATAGATAACACCATGGTCCCACACAACTCATACAGGAAAAGAGAAATGGAAAACGTAGAATGAGAGCTTTCTAAAACCATGAAACCATGAAAAATTCATGAAGAAGCTATAGGAAGTGGGAAGGAAAGTGATGGGATAAAACTGAGAGACCAGTTTTTAACTTTGTCTAGGTATAGAGTGGTCGTTCATTTACCATAAAATCCTGGCAAGCAGAAGTGCACAGTGCTTTATAGCTATCATGATACTAGCATTCTGACTGCTTCTACAGCTTTGAGGAAATCTCCAGGAGACAGCCAACCCACCTTTTCTAAACCACAGGGATCTCAGATTGTGCACGTTTTTTCTGTCCTCTGGAGGTGATAGTACTCTGTCTAAGCATCTCTCTTGCTGGCCAAACTGGAGAAGCACACATCACAGATGTATACATGGCCCATGCATCTCAGACACAGAGATCCAGGAACCAGCTAAGAAAGAGAGCCGCACTTGTGCTGCATTGAAACACAGGACTCACACCATCCTTTCCCTGCTGACATGGTGGCATGGCTAAAGTGCATTACAAGAGTGTGACTCGCTTTGCTTTTAAGGAAGGATGGCCAAGGGGCAATGGCGTGAGAATGATCTTTGTCTGCCCAATCTCACCCTTGTGTTACATCCCAGAAAAAGTCAGGGTGATGTCCACAGTGTTCACTAACAAGGAGGACAAAGGATTTAAGGAAACAAAGTATTTATTAACATAAAGAACTTAATGAGCCAATAAAAAGAGCCAAACCCTAGTTATGAAACTCTTCAGAAAAGATATTGTCCGATATGAAGGAAATTGCCTCAAGGAAAGAAATTTTACTTTCTTATATTATTTTATCTGTTTTATTATATTTTTCCTTTGACGGATGAATGAAAACACACATCTGACTTCCTATTAGAGGGTCATTTGCGAAGCCAATTAAACAAGCAGGACAAAGAATTTAAGGAGAAAAAGAATTTAAGTAGAGAAAGAACCTAACGACAATTTGAAGAGCCAATTTCTACTCACTTCAGAAGAGATCCCAACTGAGGTGAAACATATCATTGCCTGAATGATGGAGACTTTAGTTTCTTTCATTCTATTTATTTACTTATTTATTTATTTTGGAGGGGTGGAGGAAAACATATATCTGACTTATTTTGAGAGGGTTATTTGCAAGGCCAATTTCATGTGCAGGTTTAGTCTCCAGGAGACAAGGGTAAGGGTTGTGAGCGAGATCCCTTACAGCTCTAAAACACTAGACAGGGTCTGGCCTCACCAGTGCTGAACAGAAGGGAAATATGGCTTTCCTTGGACTGCTCGAGATATTCCCTTGACCTGTTCAAGAGACTCTGTTGATTCAACTATCATTAGGCTGCTTTATGGCAAGGGCATGCTGCTGGCACATGTTCAACTTGGTATCCACTGGGACCCAGAGAGCCTTTTCCACCAGCCTGCTTTCCTGGAACATGGCATTGTTCCTCCCCAAGTGAAGGACTTTGCACTTTTTCTTGTGGAACTCCATGAGGATCCTGTCAGCCCATTTCTTCATGTTCTCCAGATCCTTTTCATGACAGCAACACCTTCCGCTGTAGCCAAAACTTCTCCACCTCAGCCCACTCCCGTTTTACAGTACCTGCTGACTTACAGGGGGTACACTCTGTCCCATCATTGAGATTATTTATAAGGACATTCATCACAGAAACATAGAATATCCCAACCTGGAAGAAAACGATACGGATCATCGAGTCCAACTCCTGGCTCCACACAGCTCTACAACAAAAATTCAGACCATGTAGCTAAGAGCACAAACGAAATGCACAGCCCAAATTTGCTCAAAATACCTTCTAGTCCTACATCCAAATCTTTTATAAAAACATTGAAGAGAACTGGCTCTAATACGAAGCCTTGGGGGACCCCACTGGTGACTGTCCACTACTCTGGTGTAGCCCCGTTTACCATGAAACTTTAAGCAATACACATCAGATAATTATTCACCCATCGTATAGTGTTTTTGTCTAGCTGTATGCTGGACGTTGTGCCCAGTAGGATCCTAAGGGAAACTGTGTCATAAGCTTTACTGAAATCCAAAAAGATTACAGCAGCTGGTTTCCCTTCATCGACGGGATGGGAAATCAAATTTGTTAAACAGAACCTACCCCTCATGAAGCCATCTTGGCTATGACCAATAACTACTTTTTCCCCCAGAAGCGATTCAATAACTCCCAGGATTATCTCCATAATTCTATCCTGCACTGCCATGACACTAACAGGCCTGTAGTTTCCAGGGTCTTCTTTCTTGCCCTTCTTGAAAACTGGTACAACATTTGCCAGCTTCCAGTCAACTGGGACCTCTCCACATTCCCAAGAACATTGAAAAATAATTGAGAGAAGTCCCACAATGATGTCAGTCAGCTCTCTGAGCACCCTGAGATGAAACCCATCCAAATCCATGGATGTGTATGGATCCAGGTGGAGTAGCAAATCCTACACACATTAAACAATGCAATCTGAATTGATCCATGAGGTACACCAAGAGTTCCTGGCATCCAGCAGGACTTTATGCCATTGATCACTCCTCTGGGCCCAGCTGATCAGTCACATATGCTCAGGACTCACAAGACCCACAAGAGGCCTTCTAGCAAATCCTTGCTACCCACCCATTTCCTTCAGGCACTAGCAGTCACATCTCCAGGATGAGGACACATTCCCCCAAAACAATACCTCAATAAAGGAAAAAATTAAAAATATATAGAATAAATAAAAAAGTACCCAGACAGACAGTGACCCTGGACAACAGCATCCTTTTTATTGCCAGAATGGCACTCGGGCATTCATTCCATTTCACTTTTACAGACAAAGGTATACCAGCTTAAAAATGATACAGTGTATAATGCAGCACAACAGAACATAAGGGTGTCTATGTATCCAGTCCCAGAACACCTTCTTTCCAAAAACCCATTGTTACAGTTTGGGTGTCAGTCCTTCTTAAGGGGAATTTGTACGACAATGCTTAAATACACAGACAAAGGAGAAAGGGAAAAAAAAGAAGATGCAAGCATTCTAACAAAAACCTGGAAAACCAGACCATGATAGCACTTCCCTTTCATTGAGGAACCCCTTCAAGAATAAATGAAAACAATGACACAAATAAAGGAAATTCTGTTTTAAAGTCTATCTTTCTTCTGCCTTGTAGACAAATGTCCTCTGAGGCAATGAATCAAGATGCCTTGCCATCCACGCAAACACAATGATCAGGGTCATAGCTATGTATAAGTAGTGTCTATGTTGGAATCATTAGTCCTGCTATAGTTCTGAGTCACTCCCAAGCACATGGACCACTGCAAAGTCTGGCTCTGCATGTATTTGCTGTACCCTGCAGAAGAAGAGATGGCAGAACCCAGTAAAATACATGGTTCAAGCCAACTGAGGTGGAAGACCACACAGTGCAAAAACACATGGTGCCAACATGACTCACACAGAGAGATCCAGGACTCAGCAAAGAAAGAGAGAAGCACTTCCACTGCAGTGATACACAGGGCTAACATCTTTCTTCCCTGCAGTAAAGTGAGCCGGGTTATACTGCACTGTTATCTGCCCAGCCTCAACATTATGTTTCAGCACAGAATAAGACAGGGTGATTGTCAAGGTTTTTCCTAATGACAAGCATTTAGCCAGAGAGCCAGGATCAAACCTTGCTCATGAAGCACCAATACCAGACCTGGAATATATCATTGCCTGAGAACAAAGGCCGTTGTTCTCTTATATATATATATTTAATTTCTAATATTTTTTTGCGGGGGAGAAGAAAAACACACATCTGACTTAGTGTTAGAGGGTCATTTGTGAAGTCAATTACAAATGCAGATTTAATCTCCAGGAAACAAGACTGAATATCTTTAGCCAGATCCCTTCCAGCTCCAAGGCATGAAGCCTTTCACTGTGTGGACTCACACCTAGTTAAAGGGAAGGCCATTAAAGTGTCCAACAGGTGGTGTACCAGAAATGTCCAGGGCTGCATCCCCCATGGAGTTCTGGATGGGAGGGAAATCCTCTGTGTCAGCAACACCCCTGCCTGTGCCAGAGTGCTGTGGTGGTAGGCTGGGGAGGATGGGCTTGAGGAACTTGAACTCGCTGTTGCCCGACCCTGTGGTAAGGTTGATCTCGTAGCAATACGCGTGGGGCAGGGTCCCATCGGCAGCCCCAGCAGCAAGACTGCTCTGCAAGTTGCCCGTGCCATACAGCATGTGTCCTCCTTTCAGCTCCTTTCTCTTGAATACCTTGCAAGCAACAAAGGCTGCAACAGACGTGAGGAAGAGGAGGGAGACAAAGACCAGTGAAACGATTAAATAGATTGTCAGGGAGCTGTCTTCATCCTGCACAGCCAGCTCCTGCTGTGGCAGGTGTTCCTGTGAGAGGCCGTTGAGCAGGAGTACGTTCAGTGCTGCAGTGGCCGACAGAGGTGGCCGCCCATTGTCACGCACCAGCACCTCGAGCTTCTGCTTCACTGCATCCCTCTCTGTCACTGGCCTCCTCAGACGCACCTCCCCATTTTGGCTACCCACAGCAAACAGCCCGGGGTCTGTGGCCCTCAGCAGGTGGAAGGAAAGCCACGAGTTCTGACCAGAGTCCGCATCAACAGCCACCACTTTGGTGACCAGGTCCCCCACCTCAGCCGACGCTGGCACCAGCTCACTGGATGGCGGGCTGCTGTCCTGAGCAGGGTGCAACACCAGTGGGGCATTGTCGTTCTCGTCCACCACGAGGAGGCGGACGGTGACGTTGGTGCTGAGGGGAGGGGACCCCGCATCAGTGGCACTCACCAGCACCTCAAGCTGCCTCACCTGCTCATAGTCCAGTGGACGCAGCACAAACACATGTCCGTTCTCTGAGTTCACGGAGATGCAAGAGCAGGGGTCCCGCTCATTGGGGTGCACAGGCCTCAGGGAATAGGTCACCTTGGCATTGGGTCCTGTGTCTGTGTCTGCTGCACTGATAACACCAACAAGCACTCCAGGGATATTGTTCTCTCGCACAAACATGGTGTACGATGTCTGGTTGAAGACAGGGGCATTGTCATTGACATCGGAGATTTCCACAGTGAAGGTCTGGGTAGTGGTGAGAGGAGGCGATCCTGCGTCTGCCGCTGTGATGACCACAAGGTACTGAGTTGTCTCCTCCCGATCCAATGTGGTCGCTGTCACTAACTCATAGTAATTCTTATAGGCTGGCCTCAGGGAGAAGAAGACCTGGTCTTCAAGGGCACAGCTGATCTCCCCATTCACACCAGAATCCCTGTCTCTGACAGCAAAGAGGGCAACCACTGTTCCAGGCTCTGTGTTCTCAGGGAGGGGGCTGCTGAAGGAACTCACCACGACCTCCGGTGCATTGTCGTTCACATCCACCACCTCCACCAACACCTTGCAGAGTGCTGAGAGGTCCCCACCATCAGTTGCTCGTACACTGAGCTCATGTTTCTGTGTGGTCTCAAAGTCCAGGGGTTTTGCAACTCGAATTTCACCAGTCATACTGTCAATTGTGAATGTGGACTGCCTGTCCTCAAGAACATTACTGAACCTATAGGAGATGTCACCATTCAGTCCCATGTCTGGATCTGTTGCAACAACGCTGAGAATCACAGAACCTATTGTGGCATTTTCCAAAACACGTCCAATGTAATACTTCTGTGTGAAGGTAGGAGCGTTGTCATTTACGTCCAGAACTACGATGTGGATTTGGGTGGTCCCGCTCCTAGGTGGAGAGCCACTGTCTGTAGCAATGAGACTGAAAAGCAGCTCTGGCTGCTCCTCTCTGTCTAGTGTTTGATCTAACACCAAGTCGACAAACTTGTCATCGTCATTGTGAGTCCCGAAAGAGACACTAAAATATCCATTCTCAGGAGCGATAGTGTAAGCCTGGATGCTGTTGCTGCCAGCGTCCAGGTCCTGAGCCGCCTCCACGGGGAAACGCGAGCCAGGGGCGCAGGTTTCCAAGATCTTAAAAGTGACTCGTTCCCCGGGAAAGACCGGCGAGTGGTCGTTGACGTCCTCCACGGCCACCTCGACACGAAAGAACTGCAGCGGGTTTTCCAGCAGGAGCTCGAAGGCGAGCGTGCAGGTAAGCGAGCGGCCGCACATCTCCTCGCGATCGAGCCGCTCCGCCAGGACGAGGCGGCCGGTGGCGCGCTCTAAGCGAAAATGCTGCCGGCCGTCCGCGGAGGCAATGCGTGCCCGGCGAGCCGACAGCTGCGCCGGCGTCAGCCCCGCGTCCTCCGCCACGTTGGCCACCACGGAGCCGCTCTCCCCCTCCTCGGCTACGGAGTAGCGGATGGGCTCGCAGCGAACGCGCGGCACGCACAGCAAAGCACACAGACAAAGCACTTGCCTTGCAGACGCCATGGCGGGGCGGCGGACACCCTCCGTCTGCCGCAGTCCTCCGCGGGAAGCGGCGCCCGGCAGCAGCGCGGCGCCAAGGGCGGGCGCCCTCCCTCGCGGCCTCCCTCTCTCCCTCTCGCCGAGCTCGGCTGGCGGCCCGCAGCGCGGCACTCCGGGACCGGCAGCGGCTGCTGCGGAGGACGCCGCGGACGACCGCTCGCCGCCGCCTCCCGGCTGCGCTGCGCTGCGCTGGGCTCGGCCGCCTCCCCGCTCGCAGCCGCTCGCCGCCGCCTTGGCCACGAGCACCACCCTGCGGCCTGCGGCGGGACTGCTCCGGGACGGGACGCGCTCCTGGCCGCCGACTCGCAGCCTTTCACAAAAGTCCGGCAGTTTTTTGCCCGTCAAACTGAATCCAGGCAAACTGAAGTTCAGAGTGCTTTATAGTTACCATCGTTCCCAGTATCATGGGTGCTTCTAGAGCTTTGAGGTAATCTCCAGAATACAGACAACCCACCCTTTCTATCTCAGGTTGTGCACGTTTTTTCTGTCCTCTGGAGGTGATAGTACTCTGTCTAAGCATCTTTCTTGCTGGCCAAACTGGAGAAGCACACATCACAAATGCATACACAGCCCATGCATCTCAGACACAGAGATCCAGGAACCAGCCAAGAAAGAGAGCAGCACTTGTGCTGCATTGAAACACAGGACGCACACCATCCTTTCCCTGCTGACATGGTGGCATGGCTAAAATGCATTACATGACTGTGAGTTTCTTTGCTTTTAAGGAAGGATGGCCAAGGGGCAATGGCGTGAGAATGATCTTTGTCTGCCCAATCTCACCCTTGTGTTACATCCCAGAAAAAGTCAGGGTGATGTCCACAGTGTTCACTAACAAGGAGGACAAAGGATTTAAGGAAACAAAGTATTTATTAACATAAAGAACTTAATGAGCCAATATAAAGAGCCAAACCCTACTTATGAAACTCTTCAGAAAAGATATTGTCCGATATGAAAGAAATTGCCAGAAGGAAAGAAATTTTACTTTCTTATATTATTTTATCTGTTTTATTTTATTTTTCATTTGACTGGTGAGGAGAAACATACATCTGACTTCATATTAGAGGGTCATTTGCGAAGCCAATTACAACAAGCAGGACAAAGAATTTAAGGAGAAAAAGAATTTAAGGAGACAAAGGATATCACCAATTTGAAGAGCCAGTTTCTACTCACTTCAAAAGAGATGTCGACTGAGGTGAAACATATCATTGCCCGAATGATGGAGACTTTAGTTTCTTTCATTCTTTTTATTTGCTTATTTATTTATTTTGGAGGGGTGGAGGAAAACATATATCTGACTTATTTTTAGAAGGTTATTTGCAAGGCCAATTTCATGTGCAGGTTTAGTCTCCAGGAAACAAGGGTAAGGGTTGTGAGCTAGATCCCTTCCAGCTCTAAAACACTAGACAGGGTCTGGTCTCACAAGTGGTGAACTGAGGGGAAGTATGGCTTGCCTTGGGCTGTTTGAGATATTCCCTTGACCTGTTCAAGGGACTCTGCTGATTCAACCATCATTAGGCTGCTTTATGGCAAGGGCATGCTGCTGGCACATGTTCAATTTGGTATCCACTGGGACCCCCAGAGCCTTTTCCACCAGCCTGCTTTTCTGGAACATGGCATTGTTCCTCCCCAAGTGAAGGACTTTGCACTTTTTCTTGTGGAACTCCATGAGGATCCTGTCAGCCCATTTCTCCAGGTTCTCCAGATCCTTTTGATGACAGCAACACCTTCTGCTGTAGCCAACACTTCTCCACCTCAGCCCACTCCCGTTTTACAGTACCTGCTGACTTACAGGGGGTACACACTGTCCCATCATTGAGATTATTTATAAGGACATTCATCACAGAAACATAGAATATCCCAAGCTGGAAGAAACCGATATGGATCATCGAGTCCAACTCCTAGCTCCACACAGCTCTACAACAAAAATTCAGACCATGTGACTAAGAGCACAAACGAAATGCACAGCCCAAATTTGCTCAAAATACCTTCTAGTCCTACATCCAAATCTTTTATAAAAACATTGAAGAGAACTGGCTCTAATACGAAGCCTTGGGGGACCCCACTGGTGACTGTCCACTGCGCTGGTGTAACCCCGTTTACCATGAAACTTTAAGCAATACACATCAGATAATTATTCACGCATCGTATGATGTTTTTGTCTAGCTGTATGCTGGACATTGTGCCCAGTAGGATCCTAAGGGAAACTGTGTCAAAAGCTTTACTGAAATCCAAAAAGATTACAGCAGCTGGTTTCCCTTCATCGACGGGATGGGAAATCAAATTTGTTAAACAGAACCTACCCCTCATGAAGCCATCTTGGCTGGGACCAATAACTACTTTTTCCCCCAGAAGCGATTCAATAACTCCCAGGATTATCTCCATAATTTTACCAAGCACTGCCATGACACTAACAGGCCTGTAGTTTCCAGGGTCTTCTTTCTTGCCCTTCTTGAAAACTGGTACAACATTTGCAAGCTTCCAGTCAACTGGGGCCTCTCCTGATTCCCAAGAACACTGAAAAATAATTGAGAGAATTCCCACAATGATGTCAGTCAGCTCTCTGAGCACCCTGAGATGAAACCCATCCAAATCCATGGATGTGTATGGATCTAAGTGAAGTAGCAAATCCCACACACATTAAACAATGCAATCTGTATTGATCCATGGGGTACACCAAGAGTTCCTGGCATCCAACAGGACGTTATGCCATTGATCACCACTCTTCTGGGCCCAGCTGATCAGCCACAAATGCTCAGGACTCACAAGACCCACAAGAGACCTTCTAGCAAATACTTGCTACCCACCCTTTTCCTTCAGGCACTAGCAGTCACATCTCCAGGTTGAGGACACATTCCCCCAGAACAATACCTCAATAAAGGAAACAATTAAGAATATATATAGTAAATAAAAAAGTACCCAGACAGACAGTGACCCAGGACAACAGCATCCTTTTTATTGCCAGAATGGCACTTGGGAATTCATTCCATTTCACTTTTACAGACAAGGGTACACCAGCTTAAAAATGATACAGTGTATAATGCAGCACAACAGAACATAAGGGTGTTTATGTATCCAGTCCCAGAACACCTTCTTTCCAAAAACCCATTGTTATAGTTTGGGTGTCAGTCCTTCTTAGGGGAATTCGTACGACAATGCTAAGACGAGCCTAAGAACAAAGTACTTAACGAGCCAATTTAAAGAGCCAAACCCTACTAATGAGGTGATTCAGAAAAGATATTCTCCGAGATGAAACAAATTGCCTGAAGGAAAGAAACTTTACTTTCTTGATTTTATCTCTTATTTTTCCTTTGAGGTATGAATAAAAACATACATATGATTTCCTATTAGAGGGTCATTTGCGAAGCCAATTACAACAAGCAGGATAAAGAATTTAAGGAGCCAAAGAATTGAACAAGACAAAGAACTTAACGAGACAGTCTGAAGCGCCGATTTCTACTCACTTCAGAAGAGATTTCGACTGAGGTGAAACATATCATTTCCCGAATGATGCAGTCTTTGGTTTCTTTCATTCAATATATCTGCTAATTTATTTATTTTGGAAGTGTAGAGGAAAACATATATCTGACTCAATTTTAGGGGGTTATTTGCAAGGCCAATTTCAAGTGCAGGTTTACTCTCCAGGAAACAAGGGTTAAGGGTTGTGAGCTAGATCCCTTCCAGCTCTAAAACACTAGACAGGGTCTGGCCTCACCAGTGGTGAACAGAGTGGAAGTATGGCTTCCCTTGAGTTGCCCGAGATACTCCCTTGATCTGTTCAAGAGACTCTGCTGATTCAACCATCATTAGGCTGCTTTATGGCAAGGGCATGCTGCTGGCACATGTTCAACTTGGTATCCACTGGGACCCAGAGAGCCTTTTCCACCAGCCTGCTTTCCTGGAACATGGCATTGTTCCTCCCCAAGTGAAGGACTTTGCACTTTTCCTTGTGGAACTCCATGAGGATCCTGTCAGCCCATTTCTCCAGGTTCTCCAGATCCTTTTGATGACAGCAACACCCTCTGCAGTAGCCGACGCTTCTCCACCTCACCCCCATTCCCGTTCTACAGCACCTGTTGACTTGCAGAGGGCACACTCTGTCCCATCATTGAGATTATTTATAAGGATATTCAACACAGAATAAAAAGAATATCCCAAGCTGGAAGAAACCTGTAAGGATCATCTAGTGACCCTCCTGGCTCTTCATAGGTCTAAAAATAATTCAGACCATGTGACTAAGAGCACAAACCAAATGCACAGCCCAAATTTGCTCAAAATACCTTCTAGTCCTACATCCAAATCGTTTCTAAAAACATTGAAGAGAACTGGCATTAAAACGAAGCCTTGGGGGACCCCACTGGTGACTGGCTGCTATCCTGGTGCAGCCCCATTTACCGTAAACCTTTGAGCAATACCCATCAGATAATTATTCACGCATTGTATGATGTTTTTGTCTAGCTGCATGCTGGGTATATTGCTCAGTAGGATCCTAAGGGAAACTGTGTCAAAAGCTTTACTGAAATCCAAAAAGATTACAGCAGCTGCTTTCCCTTCATCGACTAGATGGGTGATCTTATAATAAAAGGAAATAAAATTTGTTAAACAGAACCTACCCCTCATGAAGCCATCTTGGCTGGGACCAATGATTGTGTTGTCCACCAGGTGTGATTCAATAGTTCCCAGAATAATCTCCATAATTCTACCCTGCGCTGCCATGACACTAACAGGCCTCTAGTTTCCAGGGCCTTCTTTCTTGCCCTTCTTGAAAACTGGTACAACATTTGCCAGCTTCCAGTCAACTGGGGCCTCTCCTGATTCCCAGGAATACTGAAAAATAATTGAGAGAATTCCCATGATGATGTCAGTCAGCTCTCTGAGCACCCTGAGATGAAACCCATCCAAATCCATGGACGTGTATGGATCTAGGTGGAGCAGCAAATCCCACACATGTTGAACAATGCAATCAGTGGTGATCAATACAGTATACCAATAGTTCCTGGCATCCAACACGACTTTGTGCCACTGATCATCTCCCTTCTGGGCCCAGGTGCTCGGCCACTTCTTATGCTTAGTGCTCACAAGGCCCACAAGAGACCTGCCAGGACATCCTAGATACCCACCCTTTCCCTTTAGGCACTAGCAGTCACATCTCCAGGTTGAGGACACATAGCACCAAACCAAAACCTCCATTAAGGAACCAATTAAAAATATATATAATAAATAAAAAAGCACCAAGACAGACAGTGACCCAGGACAACAGCATCCTTTTTATTGCCAGAATAGCACTTGGGCATTCATTCCATTTCACTTTTACAGACAAGGGTATACCAGCATAAAAATGGTACAGTGTATAATGCAGCACAACAGAACATAAGGGTGTTTATGTATCTAGTCCCGTATCACGATCTTTCCAACTACCCATCGTTATAGGTTGAGTATCAGTCCTTCTTAAGGGGAATTCATACGACAATGTTTAAATACACAGACAAAGGAGAAAGGGAAAAAAAAAGGAAGATGCAAGCATTCTTACAAAAACCTGGAAAACCAGACCATGATAGCACTTTCCTTTCATTGAGGAACCCTTCAAGCAAGAATGAAAACAATGACACAAGAAAAGGTTACTCCATTTTAAAGCCTATCTTTCTTCTGCCTTGTAGACAAATGTCCTCTGAGGCAATGTATCAAGATGCCTTGCCATCCACCAAAACACAATGATCAGGGTCAAAGCTATGTATAAGTAGTGTCTATGTTGGAATCATTAGTCCTCCTATACTTCTGAGTCACTCCCAAGAACATGGACCACTGCAAAGTTTGGGTCGGCACATTTTTGCTGTACCCTGGAGAAGATGAGATGGTGCAACCCAGTAAAATACATGGTTCATGCCAACCGAGGTGGAAGACCACACAGTGCAAAACCACACGGTGCTGACATGACTCTGTATACAGAGAGATCCAGGATTCAGCAAAGAAAGAGAGTAGCACTTGCACTGCAGTGATACACAGGGCTAACACCTTTCTTCCCGGCAAACAAGATGAGGGCTATACTGCACTGTCAACAGCCCAGACTCACCATTGTGTTTCATCACACAGACTAAGACAGGGTGATTGTCAAGCTTTCTCCTAATGACAAGCATTTAGGCAGAGAGACTGAATCACACATTCCTCACAAAGCACCAATACCAGACCTGGAATATATCATTGCCTGAGAACAAAGGCCTTACTTCTCTTATATATATACATATAATTTCTAAACTTTTAATGGGGGGTGAAGAAAAACAATACATCTGACTTGGTATTAGAGGGTCTTTTGTGAAGCCAATTACAAATGTAGATTTAATCTCCAGGAAACAAGACTGAATATCATTAGCCAGATCCCTTCTAGCTCAAAGACATGTAGCCTTTAACTGCGTGGACCCAGACCTAGTTAAAAGGAAGGCCATTAAAGTGTCCAACAGATGGTGTACCAGAGATGTCCAGGGCTGCATCCCCCATGGAGTTCTGGACGGGTGGGAAATCCTCTGTGTCAGCAACACCCCTGCCTGTGCCAGAGTGCTGTGGTGGCAGGCTGGGGAGGATGGGCTTCAGGAACTTGAACTCGCTGTTGCCCGACCCTGTGGTAAGGTTGATCTCATAGCAATAGGCATGGGGCAGGGTCCCAGCAGCAGCCCCAGCAGCAAGACTGCTCTGCAAGTTGCCCGTGCCATGCAGCATGTGCCCTCCTTTCAGCTCCTTTCTCTTGAATACCTTGCAAGCAACAAAGGCTGCGACAGATGTGAGGAAGAGGAGGGAGACAAAGACCAGTGAAACGATTAAATAGATTGTCAGGGAGCTGTCTTCATCCTGCACAGCCAGCTCCTGCTGTGGCAGGTGTTCCTGTGAGAGGCCGTTGAGCAGGAGTACGTTCAGTGCTGCAGTGGCCGACAGAGGTGGCCGCCCATTGTCACGCACCAGCACCTCGAGCTTCTGCTTCACTGCATCCCTCTCTGTCACTGGCCTCCTCAGACGCACCTCCCCATTTTGGCTACCCACAGCAAACAGCCCGGGGTCTGTGGCCCTCAGCAGGTGGAAGGAAAGCCACGAGTTCTGACCAGAGTCCGCATCAACGGCCACCACTTTGGTGACCAGGTCCCCCACCTCAGCCGACGCTGGCACCAGCTCACTGGATGGCAGGCTGCTGTCCTGAGCAGGGTGCAACACCAGTGGGGCATTGTCGTTCTCGTCCACCACAAGAAGGCGGACGGTGACGTTGGTGCTGAGGGGAGGAGACCCCGCATCGGTGGCACTCACCAGCACCTCAAGCTGCCTCACCTGCTCATAGTCCAGTGGACGCAGCACAAACACATGTCCGTTCTCTGAGTTCACGGAAATGCAGGAGCAGGGATCCTGCTCAGTTGGGTGCACAGGCACCAGGGAATAGGTCACCTTGGCATTGGGTCCTGCATCTGAGTCTGCTGCACTGACAGCCCCAACAAGCACTCCAGGGATATTGTTCTCTCGCACATACATGGTGTATGATGTTTGGTTGAAGACAGGGGCATTGTCATTGACATCGGAGATGTTCACCGTGAAGGTCTGGGTAGTGGTGAGAGGAGGAGATCCTGTGTCTGCCGCTGTGATGACCACAAGGTACTGAGCTGTCTCCTCCCGATCCAACGTGTTCATGGTAACCAGCTCATAATAATTCCTATAGGCTGACCTCAGGGAGAAGGAGAGCTGGTCTTCAAGGGCACAGATGATCTCCCCATTCACACCAGAATCACGGTCCCTCACTGCAAATACTGCTACCACTGTCCCAGGCTCCGTATTCTCAGGGAGGGGGCTGCTGAAGGAACTCACCACCACCTCTGGTGAATTGTCATTCACATCCATCACCTCCACGACTATATTGCACATGCCTGAGAGACCCCCACCATCAGTTGCCAGCATACTGAGCTCATATTTCTGTGTGGTCTCAAAATCCAGGGGCTTTGTGACACGAATTTCACCACTCATGGAATCAATTGTGAAGGGCAATTGGTTCTCACCCACTGACTGGCTGAACCTATAGGAGATGTCACCATTCAGTCCCACGTCTGGATCGGTGGCTACAACTCTGAGAACCACAGAGCCTGCTGGGGCACTTTCCAAAACCTGACCAACATACACGTCCTGAGTAAAGGTGGGAGCGTTGTCATTTACATCCAGAACTATGATGTGGATTTGGGCTGTCCCGCTCCTAGGTGGAGAGCCACCGTCTGTAGCAATGAGACTGAAAAGCAGCTCTGGCTGCTCCTCTCTGTCGAGAGGCTTTTCCAATACCAATTCTATAAATTTATTTCTCGGATGCTTAAAAGAAACACTGAAGTACTCGTTCTCGGGAGCGATAGTGTAAGCCTGGATGCTGTTGCTGCCAACGTCCAGGTCCTGAGCCGCCTCCACAGGAAAACGAAATCCAGGGTCGCTGGATTCCGGGATCTGAAAAGTGACTCGTTCCTCGGGAAACACCGGCGAGTGGTCGTTGACGTCCTCCACGGCCACCTCGACACGAAAGAACTGCAGCGGGTTTTCCAGCAGGAGCTCGAAGGCGAGCGTGCAGGTAAGCGAGCGGCCGCACATCTCCTCGCGATCGAGCCGCTCCGCCAGGACGAGGCGGCCGGTGGCGCGCTCTAAGCGAAAATGCTGCCGGCCGTCCGCGGAGGCAATGCGTGCCCGGCGAGCCGACAGCTGCGCCGGCGTCAGCCCCGCGTCCTCCGCCACGTTGGCCACCACGGAGCCGCTCTCCCCCTCCTCGGCTACGGAGTAGCGGATGGGCTCGCAGCGAACGCGCGGCACGCACAGCAAAGCACACAGACAAAGCACTTGCCTTGCAGACGCCATGGCGGGGCGGCGGACACCCTCCGTCTGCCGCAGTCCTCCGCGGGAAGCGGCGCCCGGCAGCAGCGCGGCGCCAAGGGCGGGCGCCCTCCCTCGCGGCCTCCCTCTCTCCCTCTCGCCGAGCTCGGCTGGCGGCCCGCAGCGCGGCACTCCGGGACCGGCAGCGGCTGCTGCGGAGGACGCCGCGGACGACCGCTCGCCGCCGCCTCCCGGCTGCGCTGCGCTGCGCTGCGCTGCGCTGGGCTCGGCCGCCTCCCCGCTCGCAGCCGCTCGCCGCCGCCTTGGCCACGAGCACCACCCTGCGGCCTGCGGCGGGACTGCTCCGGGACGGGACGCGCTCCTGGCCGCCGACTCGCAGCCTTCCACGAACGCCGGTGTTGGGGTGTTCTTCCCATGTCACCATTACAGGAAAGTGTGTCCTGCGTGGCCGTGATGTAGCGTATGACTGCAGTACAAAGCAGGGTGAGCTTTTCCAAATGTTCACTGCCATACCACCACCGCTCCAAAAACATGTTCTGCCTGTGGTGACAGTCCTTCTTCAGGGGAATAGGTAACACCATGCTCCAACACAACTCATACAGGAAATGAGAAATGGAAAACGTAGAAGGAGAGCTTTCTAACAGCATGGAACTAAACCCACGAATAATCATGTCAGACTGAACTCTTGTCTCATGGAGAAGCTATAGGAAGTGGGAAGGAAACTGATGGGATAAAGCTGAGAGACCAGTTTTTAACTTTGTCTAGGTATAGAGTCGTCGTTCATTTACCGTGGAATCCTGGAATTAGAGGTGCACAGTGCTTTATAGCTATCATCGATCTTATCATGGAGAGTGCTTCTAGAGCTTTCTGGCAATCTCCAGGAGACAAACAACCCTCCTTTTCTAAACCACAGGGATCTCTGGCTGTGCACGTATTTTCTGTCCCCTGGAGATGATAGTACTCAGTCTAAGCACCTGTCTTGCTGACCCAGCTCGAGGAGCACACATCACAAATACACACAGGGCCTATGCATCTCAGACACAGAGATCCAGCTAAAGAAAGAAAGATGCACTTGTGATGCATTGAAGCACAGGACTCACACCATCCTTTCCCTTCTGACATGGGGACATGGCTAAAGTGCATTACATGACTGTGAGTCGCTTAGCTTTTAAGGAAGGATGGCCAAGTGCAATGGTGTGAGAATGATCTTTGTCTGCCCAATCTCCCAATCTTACCCTTGTGTTACATCCCAGAGAAAGACAGGGTGGGGTCCACCGCGTTCTCTAACAAGGAGGACAAATTAATTAAGGAGCCAAAGAACTTAACGAGACAAAGTACTTAACGAGCCAATTTAAATAGGGAAACCCTATAAACGAAATACTTCAGAAAAGATATTGTCCGAGATGAAACAAATTGCCTGAAGGAAAGAAACTTTACTTTCTTGATTTTATCTGTTTTATTTTAATTTTTCTTTGAGGGGTGAAGAAAAACACACATCTGACTTCGAATTAGAGGGTCATTTGTGAAGTCAATTAAACAAGCAGGAAAAAGAGCTTAAGAAACCAAAGAATTTAAGGAGAGAAAGAAATTAACGAGACAATTTGAAGAGCCAACTTTTGGTCACTTCAGAAGAGATCTCGAGTGAGGTGAAACATATCATTGCCTGAATGATGGAGACTTTGCTTTCTTTCATTCAATTTATCTGCTTATTTTTTTTATTTATTTTTGAGGTGTAGATGAAAACATATATCTGACTTATTTTTAGAGGGTAATTTCAAAGGCCAATTTCAAGTGCAGGTTTACTCTCCAGGAAACAAGGGTTAAGGGTTGTGAGCTAGATCTCTTCCAGCTCTAAAACACTAGACAGGGTCTGGCCTCACCGGTGGTGAACAGAAGGGAAATACGGCGTTCCTTGGACTATTCGAGATATTCCCTTGACCTGTTCAAGAGACTCTGCTGATTCAACCATCATTAGGCAAGGGTATGATGCTACTGGCACATGTTGAACTTGGTATCTACTGGGACCCCCAGAGCTTTTTCCACCAGCCTGCTTTCCTGGAACATGGCATTGTTCCTCCCCAAGAGAAGGACTTTGCACTTTTCCTTGAGGGTCGTGTCAGCCCATTTCTCCAGGTTCTTCTGGTCCTTTTGATGACAGCAACACCTTCTGCTGTAGCCAACACTTCTCTAACCCAGCCCCACTCTGGTTTTACAGTACCTGCTGAATAACAAGGGGTACACTCTGTCCCATTATTTATATTATTTATAAGGACATTCATCAACGAATAAGAGGAATACCCAAGTGGGAAGAAACCCATATGGATCATCGAGTCGAACTCCTGGCTCCACACAGCTCTACAACAAAATTTCAGACCATGTGACTAAGAGCACAGCCCAAATTTGCTCAAAATACCTTCTAGTCCTACATCCAAATCTTTTATAAAAACATTGAAGAGAACTGGCTCTAATACAAAGCCATGGGGGACCCCACTGGTGACCAGCCATTGGCCTGATGCAGCCCCATTTACCATAAACCTTCGAGCACAACCCATCAGATCATTATTAATGCATTGTATGATGTTTTTGTCTAGCTGTATGCTGGACATTGTGCCCAGTAGGATCCTAAGGGAAACTGTGTCAAAAGCTTTACTGAAATCCAAGAAGATTACAGCAGATGGTTTCCCTTCATCAACTACATGTGTGATCTTATAATAAATGGAAATCAAATTTGTTAAACAGAACCTACCCCTCATGAAGCCATCTTGGCTGGGACCAATGACTGTGCTGTCCCCCAGGTGTGATTCAATAACTCCCAGAATAATCTCCGTAATTCTACCCTGCACTGCCATGACACTAACAGGCCTCTAGTTTCCAGGGTCTTCTTTCTTGCCCTTCTTGAAAACTGGTACAACATTTGCCAGCTTCCAGTCTACTGGGGCCTCTCCCGATTCCCAAGAAAACTGAAAATTAGTTGAGAGAATTCCCACGATGATGTCTGTCAGCTCTCTGAGCACCCTGAGATTAAACCCATCCAAATCCATGGACGTGCATGGATCCAGTTGGAGCAGCCAATCCCGCACATGTTGAACAGTGCAATCAGTGGTGAACAATATGGGATACCAATAGTTCCTGGCATCAAACAGGACTTTGTGCCACTGATCACCACTCTTCTGGGCCCAGCTGCTCGGCCGCTTCTTATGCTCAGTGCTCACAAGGCCCACAAGAGACCTGCCACGACATCCTAGATACCCACCCTTTTCCTTCAGGCATTAGCAGTCACATCTCCAGGTTGAGAACACATGCCACCAAACCAAAACCTCCATAAAGGAACCAATTAAAAAAATATATAATAAATAGAAAAGTACCCAGACAGACAGTGACCCAGGACAACAGCATCCTTTTTATTGCCAGAATGGCACTTGGGCATTCATTCCATTTCACTTTTACAGACAAGGGTATACCAGCTTAAAAATGGTACAGTGTTTAATGCAGCACAACAGAACATGAGGGTGTTTATGTATCCAGTCCCAGAACACCTTCTTTCCAAAAACCCATTGTTATAGTTTGGGTGTCAGTCCTTCTTAAGGGGAATTCGTAAGACAATGTTAAAATACACAGCCAAAGGAGAAAGGGAAAAAAAGCAAGATGCAAACATTCTAACAAAAACCTGGAAAACCAGACCATGATAGCACTTCCCTTTCATTGAGGAACCCCTTCAAGCAAGAATGAAAACAATGACACAAAAAAAAGACAATGACATAAAAAAGTCTATCTTCTGCCTTGTAGACAAACATCCTCTGAGGCAATGTATCAAGATGCCTTGTCATCCACCCAAACACAATGATCAGGGTCATAGCTATGTATAAGTAGTGTCTATGTTGGAATCATTAGTCCTGCTATAGTTTTGAGTCACTCCCAAGCACATGGACCACTGCAAAGTCTGGCTCGGCATGTATTTGCTGTGCCCCGAAGAAGATGAGACGGCACATCCCAGTAAAATACATGGTTCAAGCCAACTGAGGTGGAAGACCACACAGTGCAAAAACACATGGTGCTGTCATGCCTCACACAGAGAGATCCAGGACTCAGCAAAGAAAGAGAGAAGAATTTGCACTGCAGTGATACACAGGGCTAACACCTTTCTTCCCTGCAGACAAGGGAGGAGGGCTATACTGCACTGTAAACTGCCCAGACACAACATTGTGTTTCAGCACAGAATAAGACAGGGTGATTGCCAAGCATTTTCCTAATGACAAGCATTTAGCCAGAGAGCCAGGATCAAACCTTGCTCATGAAGCACTTTGGAGAACTCAGTATCAGAGCTGAAACACATCATTGCATGAGCAGAAAGCCTTGGTTTTCTTACATTATTTAATTCCGAACCTTTTTGGAGGGGTGAAGAAAAACATATATCTTACTTAGTGTTAGAGGATCACTTGTGAAGAAAATTACAAAGGCAGTTTTAACCTCCAGGAAACAAGACCGAATTCCTTTAGCCAGATCCCTTCCAGCTCCAAGGCATGAAGCCTTTCACTGTGTGGATTCAGGCCTAGTTAAAGGGAAGGCCATTAAAGTGTCCAACAGATGGTGTACCAGAGATGTCCAGGGCTGCATCCCCCATGGAGTTCTGGATGGGAGGGAAATCCTCTGTGTCACCAACACCCCTGCCTGTGCCAGAGTGCTGTGGTGGCACACTGGGGAGGATGGGCTTCAGGAACTTGAACTCGCTGCTGCCCGACCCCGTGGTAAGGTTGATCTCGTAGCAATAGGCGTGGGGAAGGGTCCCAGCAGCAGCCCCAGCAGCAAGACTGCTAGGCAAGTTACCCGTGCCATACAGCATGTGCCCTCCTTTCAGCTCCTTTCTCTTGCACACCTTGCAAGCAACAAAGGCTGCGACAGATGTGAGGAAGAGGAGGGAGACAAAGACCAGTGAAACGATTAAATAGATTGTCAGGGAGCTGTCTTCATCCTGCACAGCCAGCTCCTGCTGTGGCAGGTGTTCCTGTGAGAGGCCGTTGAGCAGGAGTACGTTCAGTGCTGCAGTGGCCGACAGAGGTGGCTGCCCATTGTCACGCACCAGCACCTCGAGCTTCTGCTTCACTGCATCCCTCTCTGTCACTGGCCTCCTCAGACGCACCTCCCCATTTTGGCTACCCACAGCAAACAGCCCGGGGTCTGTGGCCCTCAGCAGGTGGAAGGAAAGCCACGAGTTCTGACCAGAGTCCGCATCAACGGCCACCACTTTGGTGACCAGGTCCCCCACCTCAGCTGACGCTGGCACCAGCTCACTGGATGGCGGGCTGCTGTCCTGAGCAGGGTGCAACACCAGTGGGGCATTGTCGTTCTCATCCACGACATGGAGGCGGACGGTGATGTTGGTGCTGAGGGGAGGGGACCCTGCATCAGTGGCACTCACCAGCACCTCAAGCTGCCTCAGCTGCTCATAGTCCAGTGGACGCAGCACAAACACATGTCCGTTCTCTGAGTTCACGGAGATGCAGGAGCAGGGGTCCTGCTCAGTGGGGTGCACAGGCCTCAGGGAATAGGTCACCTTGGCATTGGGTCCTGCATCTGAGTCCGCTGCACTGACAGCCCCAACAAGCACTCCAGGGATATTGTTCTCTCGCACATACATGGTGTACGATGTCTGGTTGAAGACGGGGGCATTGTCATTGACATCGGAAATGTCCACAGTGAATGTTTGGGTAGTGGTGAGAGGAGGAGAGCCTGTGTCTGCCGCTGTGATGACCACAAGGTACTGAGCTGTCTCCTCCCGGTCCAATGTGGTCGCTGTCACTAACTCATAGTAATTCTTATAGGCTGGCCTCAGGGAGAAGGAGAGCTGGTCTTCAAGACCACAGCTGATCTCCCCATTCACACCAGAATCCCGGTCTCTCACAGCAAATACTGCTACCACTGTCCCAGGCTCTGTGTTCTCGAGGAGGGGGCTGCTGAAGGAACTGATCACCAGTTCCGGTGCATTATCATTCACATCCATCACCTCCACCACTGCATTGCACATGCCTGAGAGACCCCCACCATCAGTTGCCTGTACACTGAGATCATATTTCTGTGTGGTCTCAAAATCCAGGGGCTTTGTGACACGAATTTCACCACTCATGGAATCAATTGTGAAGGGCAATTGGTTCTCACCCACTGACTGGCTGAACCTATAGGTGATGTCACCATTCAGTCCCACGTCTGGATCGGTGGCTACAACTCCGAGAACCACAGAGCCTGCTGGGGCACTTTCCAAAACCTGACCAACATAAACGTCCTGACTAAAGGTGGGAGCGTTGTCATTTGCGTCTAGAACTACGATGTGGATTTGGGCAGTCCCGCTCCTAGGTGGAGAGCCACCGTCTGTAGCAATGAGACTGAAAAGCAGCTCTGGCTGCTCCTCCCTGTCTAGAGGCTTCTCCAATACCAATTCTATAAACTTTTTTCTCGGATGCTTAAAGGAAACACTGAAGTACTCGTTCTCGGGAGCGATGGTGTAAGCCTGGATGCTGTTGCTGCCAACGTCCAGGTCCTGAGCCGCCTCCACAGGGAAACGCGAGCCAGGGTCGCTGGTTTCCGGGATCTGAAGAGTGACTCGTTCCTCGGGAAAGACCGGCGAGTGGTCGTTGACGTCCTCCACGGCCACCTCGACACGAAAGAACTGCAGCGGGTTTTCCAGCAGGAGCTCGAAGGCGAGCGTGCAGGTAAGCGAGCGGCCGCACATCTCCTCGCGATCGAGCCGCTCCGCCAGGACGAGGCGGCCGGTGGCGCGCTCTAAGCGAAAATGCTGCCGGCCGTCCGCGGAGGCAATGCGTGCCCGGCGAGCCGACAGCTGCGCCGGCGTCAGCCCCGCGTCCTCCGCCACGTTGGCCACCACGGAGCCGCTCTCCCCCTCCTCGGCTACGGAGTAGCGGATGGGCTCGCAGCGAACGCGCGGCACGCACAGCAAAGCACACAGACAAAGCACTTGCCTTGCAGACGCCATGGCGGGGCGGCGGACACCCTCCGTCTGCCGCAGTCCTCCGCGGGAAGCGGCGCCCGGCAGCAGCGCGGCGCCAAGGGCGGGCGCCCTCCCTCGCGGCCTCCCTCTCTCCCTCTCGCCGAGCTCGGCTGGCGGCCCGCAGCGCGGCACTCCGGGACCGGCAGCGGCTGCTGCGGAGGACGCCGCGGACGACCGCTCGCCGCCGCCTCCCGGCTGCGCTGCGCTGCGCTGCGCTGGGCTCGGCCGCCTCCCCGCTCGCAGCCGCTCGCCGCCGCCTTGGCCACGAGCACCACCCTGCGGCCTGCGGCGGGACTGCTCCGGGACGGGACGCGCTCCTGGCCGCCGACTCAGCCTTTCACAAACGCCGGTGTTCGAGCGTTCTTTTCATTTCACCTTTACAGGAAAGCGTGTCCTGCGTGGCCGTGATGCAGCGTATGACTGCAGCGCAAAGCAGCGTGAGCTTTTCCAAATGTTCAGTGCCATACCACCACTATTCCAAAAACATGTTCTGCCTGTGGTGACTGTCCTTCTTCAGGGGAATAGGTAACACCATGCTCCAACACAACTCATAAAGGAAATGAGAAACGGAAAACGTAGAATGAGAGCTTTCAAACACCATGGAACTAAACCCACGAATAATCATGTCAGACTGAACTCTTGTCTCATGGAGAAGCTAGAGTAAGTGGGAAGGAAAGCAATGGGACAAAACTGGGAGACCAGGTTTTAACATTTCTTTGGGAAATACTTGTTCATTTACCTTAGAAACCAGGCATTACCATGAGAATGATCTTTGTCTGCCCAATCTCACCCTTGTGTTATATCCCAGAAAAGACAGGGTGGGGTCCACAGCGTTCCCTAACAAGGAGGACAAATTAATTAAGGAGCCAAAGAACAAAGTACTTAACGCGCCAATTTAAAGAGCCAAACCCTACTAATGAGGTGATTCAGAAAAGATATTCTCCGAGATGAAACAAATTGCCTGAAGGAAAGAAACTTTACTTTCTTGATTTTATCTCTTATTTTTCCTTTGAGGGATGAAGAAAAACATACATCTGATTTCCTATTAGAGGGTAATTTGCGAAGCCAATTACAACAAGCAGGAGAAAGAATTTAAGGAGAAAAAGAATTTAACAAGACAAAGAACTTAACGAGACAGTCTGAAGCGCCGATTTCTACTCACTTCAGAAGAGATTTCGACTGAGGTGAAACATATCATTTCCCGAATGATGCAGTCTTTGGTTTCTTTCATTCAATTTATCTGCTTATTTATTTATTTATTTTGGAAGTGTAGAGGAAAACATATATCTGACTCAATTTTAGAGGGTTATTTGCAAGGCCAGTGTCAAGTGCAGGTTTAGTCTCCAGGAAACAAGGGTTAAGGGTTGCGAACTAGATCCCTTCCAGCTCTAAAACACTAAACAGGGTCTGGTCTCACAAGTGGTGAACTGAGGGGAAGTATGGCTTGCCTTGGGCTGTTTGAGATATTCCCTTGACCTGTTCAAGGGACTCTGCTGATTCAACCATCATTAGGCTGCTTTATGGCAAGGGCATGCTGCTGGCACATGTTCAACTTGGTATCCACTGGGACCCCCAGAGCCTTTTCCACCAGCCTGCTTTCCTGGAACATGGCATTGTTCCTCCCCAGGTGAAGGACTTTGCACTTTTTCTTGTGGAACTCCATGAGGGTCCTGTCAGCCCATTTCTCCAGGTTCTCCAGATCCTTTTGATGACAGCAACACCTTCTGCTGTAGCCAACACTTCTCTAACCCACCCCCACTCCCGCTTTACAGTACCTGCTGAATTACAGGGGGTGCACTCTGTCCCATCATTGAGATTATTTATAAGGATATTCAACACAGAATAAAAAGAATATCCCAAGCTGGAAGACACCCATATGGATCATCTAGTGACCCTCCTGGCTCTTCATAGGTCTAAAAATAATTCAGAACATGTGATTAAGAGCACAAACCAAATGCACAGCCCAAATTTGCTCAAAATACCTTCTAGTCCTACATCCAAATCGTTTCTAAAAACATTGAAGAGAACTGGCACTAAAACGAACACTTGGGGGACCCCACTGGTGACTGGCTGCTATCCTGGTGCAGCCCCATTTACCGTAAACCTTTGAGCAATACCCTTCAGATAATTATTCACGCATTGTATGATGTTTTTGTCTAGCTGCATGCTAGGTATTTTGCTCAGTAGGATCCTAAGGGAAACTGTTTTCAGCTTTACTGAAATCCAAAAAAGATTACAGCAGCTGGTTTCGCTTCATCAATTAGATGGGTGATCTCATAATAAAAGGAAATCGAATTTGTTAAACAGAACCTACCCCTCATAAAGACATCTTGGCTGGGACCAAAGACTGTGTTGTCCCCCGGGTGTGATTTAATAACTCCCAGAATAATCTCCATAATTCTACCCTGCACTGCCATGACACTAACAGGCCTGTAGTTTCCGGGGTCTTCTTTCTTGCCCTTCTTGAAAACTGGTACAACATTTGCCAGCTTCCGGTCAACTGGGACCTCTCCAGATTCCCAGGAATACTGAAAAATAATTGAGAGAATTCCCATGATGATGTCAGTCAGCTCTCTGAGCACCCTGAGATGAAACCCATCCAAATCCATGGACGTGTATGGATCCAGGTGGAGCAGCAAATCCCACACATGTTGAACAATGCAATCAGTGGTGATCAATACAGTATACCAATAGTTCCTGGCATCCAACACGACTTTGTGCCACTGATCATCTCCCTTCTGGGCCGAGCTGCTCGGCCGCTTCTTATGCTCAGTGCTCATAAGGCCCACAAGAGACCTGCCACGACATCCTAGATACCCACCCTTTTCCTTCAGGCACTAGCAGTCACATCTCCAGGTTGAGAACACATGCCACCAAACCAAAACCTCCATTAAGGAACCAATTAAAAATATATATAATAAATAAAAAAGCACCCAGACAGACAGTGACCCAGGACAACAGCATCCTTTTTATTGCCAGAATGGCACTTGGGAATTCATTCCATTTCACTTTTACAGACAAGGGTATACCAGCCTAAAAATAATTCAGTGTATAATGCAGCACAACAGAACATAAGGGTGTTTATGAATCTAGTCCCATATCACGATCTTTCCAACTACCCATCGTTATAGGTTGAGTATCAGCCCTTCTTAAGGGGAATTCATAAGACAATATTAAAATACACAGCCAAAGGAGAAAGGGAATAGAAAAGGAAGATGCAAGCATTCTTACAAAAACCTGGAAAACCAGACCATGAGAGCACTTCCCTTTCATTGAGGAACCCCTTCAAGCAAGAATGAAAATAATGACACAAAAAAGGATATTCCTTTTTAAAGCCTATCTTTCTTCTGCCTTGTAGACACAGGTCCTCTGAGGCAATGTATCAAGATGCCTTGAAATCCACCCAAACACAATGATCAGGGTCATAGCTATGTTTAAGTACTGTCTATGTTGGAATTGGTAGTCCTGATACAGTTCTGAGTCACTCCCAAGAACATGGACCACTGTAAAGTCTGGGTCGGCACATTTTTGCTGTGTCCTGCAGAAGATGGGATGGTGCAACCCAGTAAAATACATGGTTCATGCCAACCGAGGTGGAAGACCACACAGTGCAAAACCACATGGTGCTGACATGACTCATACAGAGAGATCCAGGACTCAGCAAAGAAAGAGAGAAGCACTTGCACTGCAGTGATACACAGGGCTAAAACCTCTCTTCCCAGCAAACAAGATGAGGGCTATACTGCACTGTAAACTGCCCAGACTCACCATTGTGTTTCATCACATAGACTAAGACAGGGTGCTTGTCAAGATTTTTCCTAATGACAAGCATTTAGCCAGAGAGACTGAATCTCACATTCCTCACAAAGCACCAATACCAGACCTGGAATATATCGTTGCCTGAGAAGAAAGGCCTTAGTTCTCTCATATATATACATATAATTTCTAAACTTTTTTGGGGGGGTGAAGAAAACAATACATCTGACTTGGTATTAGAGGGTCTTTTGTGAAGCCAATTACAAATGCAGATTTCATCTCCAGAAAACAAGACTGACTATCTTTAGCCAGATCCCTTCCAGCTCCAAGGCATGAAGCCTTTCACTGTGTGGACTCAGACCTAGTTAAAGGGAAGGCCATTAAAGTGTCCAACAGATGGTGTACCAGAGATGTCCAGGGCTGCATCCCCCATGGAGTTCTGGATGGGAGGGAAATCCTCTGTGTCACCAACACCTCTGCCTGTGCCAGAGTGCTGTGGTGGCAGGCTGGGGAGGATGGGCTTGAGGAACTTGAACTCACTGTTGCCCGACCCCGTGGTGAGGTTGATCTCGTAGCAATAGGCGTGGGGCAGGGTCCCAGCAGCAGCCCCAGCAGCAAGACTGCTCTGCAAGTTGCCTGTGCCATACAGCACATGTCCTCCTTTCAGCTCCTTTCTCTTGCACACCTTGCAAGCAACAAAGGCGGCGACAGATGTGAGGAAGAGGAGGGAGACAAAGACCAGTGAAACGATTAAATAGATTGTCAGGGAGCTGTCTTCATCCTGCACAGCCAGCTCCTGCTGTGGCAGGTGTTCCTGTGAGAGGCCATTAAGGAGGAGTACGTTCAGTGCTGCAGTGGCCGACAGAGGTGGCCGCCCATTGTCACGCACCAGCACCTCGAGCTTCTGCTTCACGGCATCCCTCTCTGTCACTGGCCTCCTCAGACGCACCTCCCCATTTTGGCTACCCACAGCAAACAGCCCGGGGTCTGTGGCCCTCAGCAGGTGGAAGGAAAGCCACGAGTTCTGACCAGAGTCCACATCAACGGCCACCACTTTGGTGACCAGGTCCCCCACCTCAGCTGACGCTGGCACCAGCTCACTGGATGGCGGGCTGCTGTCCTGAGCAGGGTGCAACACCAGTGGGGCGTTGTCGTTCTCGTCCACGACAAGGAGGCAGACGGTGATGTTGGTGCTGAGGGGAGGGGACCCCGCATCGGTGGCACTCACCAGCACCTCAAGCTGCCTCACCTGCTCATAGTCCAGTGGACTCAGCACAAACACATGTCCGTTCTCTGAGTTCACGGAGATGCAGGAGCAGGGGTCCCGCTCAGTGGGGTGCACAGGCCTCAGGGAATAGGTCACCTTGGCATTGGGTCCTGCATCTGAGTCCGCTGCACTGACAGCCCCAACAAGCACTCCAGGGATATTGTTCTCTTGCACATACATGGTGTATGATGTCTGGTTGAAGACAGGGGCATTGTCATTGACATCGGAGATGTCCACAGTGAAGGTTTGGGTAGTGGTGAGAGGAGGAGATCCTGCGTCTGCTGCTGTGATGACCACAAGGTACTGAGATGTCTCCTCCCGATCCAACGTGCTCATGGTTACCAGCTCATAGTAATTCTTATAGGCTGGCCTCAGGGAGAAGGAGAGCTGGTCTTCAAGGGCACAGCTGATCTCCCCATTCACACCAGAATCCCGGTCCCTCACTGCAAATACAGCGACCACTGTCCCAGGCTCCGTGTTCTCGGGGAGGGGGCTGCTGAAGGAACTCACCACCACCTCTGGTGCATTGTCGTTCACATCCACCACCTCCACCAACACCTTGCAAAGTGCTGAGAGGCCCCCACCATCAGTTGCTCGCACACTGAGCTCATGTTTCTGTGTGGCCTCAAAGTCCAGGGCTTTTGCAACTCGAATTTCACCACTCATACTGTCAATTGTGAATGTGGACTGGCTGTCCTCAAGAACATTACTGAACCTATAGGAGATGTCACCATTCAGTCCCATGTCTGGATCTGTTGCAACAACGCTGATAATTACAGAACCTATTGCGGCATTTTCCAAAACACGTCCAATGTAATACTTCTGTGTGAATGTAGGAGCGTTGTCATTTACATCCAGAACTACGATGTGGATTTGGGTGGTCCCGCTCCTAGGTGGAGAGCCATCGTCTGTAGCAATGAGACTGAAAAGCAGCTCTGGCTGCTCCTCTCTGTCTAGTGTTTGATCTAACACCAAGTCGACAAACTTGTCATCGTCACTGTGAGTCCCGAAAGAGACACTAAAATATCCATTCTCGGGAGCGATAGTGTAAGCCTGGATACTGTTGCTGCCAACGTCCAGGTCCTGAGCCGCCTCCACGGGGAAACGCGAGCCAGGGTCTCCCCTTTCCGGGATCTGAAAAGTGAGTCGTTCCTCGGGAAAGACCGGCGAGTGGTCGTTGACGTCCTCCACGGCCACCTCGACACGAAAGAACTGCAGCGGGTTTTCCAGCAGGAGCTCGAAGGCGAGCGTGCAGGTAAGCGAGCGGCCGCACATCTCCTCGCGATCGAGCCGCTCCGCCAGGACGAGGCGGCCGGTGGCGCGCTCTAAGCGAAAATGCTGCCGGCCGTCCGCGGAGGCAATGCGTGCCCGGCGAGCCGACAGCTGCGCCGGCGTCAGCCCCGCGTCCTCCGCCACGTTGGCCACCACGGAGCCGCTCTCCCCCTCCTCGGCTACGGAGTAGCGGATGGGCTCGCAGCGAACGCGCGGCACGCACAGCAAAGCACACAGACAAAGCACTTGCCTTGCAGACGCCATGGCGGGGCGGCGGACACCCTCCGTCTGCCGCAGTCCTCCGCGGGAAGCGGCGCCCGGCAGCAGCGCGGCGCCAAGGGCGGGCGCCCTCCCTCGCGGCCTCCCTCTCTCCCTCTCGCCGAGCTCGGCTGGCGGCCCGCAGCGCGGCACTCCGGGACCGGCAGCGGCTGCTGCGGAGGACGCCGCGGACGACCGCTCGCCGCCGCCTCCCGGCTGCGCTGCGCTGCGCTGCGCTGCGCTGGGCTCGGCCGCCTCCCCGCTCGCAGCCGCTCGCCGCCGCCTTGGCCACGAGCACCACCCTGCGGCCTGCGGCGGGACTGCTCCGGGACGGGACGCGCTGCTGGCCGCCGACTCGCAGCCTTTCACAAACGCCGGCGTGCTAACACAGCTTGTCTGCAAACTATACGGCTACAAGGACTCTCCCAACAGCAGCAGCCTTTTTGTGGCAGGAATCGCGCTCGGGTGTTCTTCCCATGTCACCTTTACAGGAAAGCGTGTCCTGCGTGGCCGTGATGCAGCGTATGACTGCAGTGCAAAGCAGCGTGAGCTTTTCCAAATCTTCAGTGCCATACCACCACCTTTCCAAAAACATGTTCTGCCTGTGGTGACTGTCCTTCTTCAGGGGAATGGGTAACACCATGCTCCCACACAACTCATACAGGAAAAGAGAAATGGAAAACGTAGATTGAGAGCTTTCTAAAACCATGAAACCATGAAAAATTCATGAAGAAGCTATAGGAAGTGGGAAGGAAACTGATGGGATAAAACTGAGAGACCAGTTTTTAACTTTGTCTAGGTATAGAGTGGTCGTTCATTTACCATAAAATCGTGGCAAGCAGAAGTGCACAGTGCTTTATAGCTATCATCGATACTAGCAGTGTGAGTGCTTCTAGAGCTTTGAGGAAATCTCCAGGAGACAGCCAACTCTTCTTTTCAAAACCACAGGGATCTCTGGTTGTGCACGTTTTTTCTGTGCCCTGGAGGTGATAGTACTCTGTATAAGCATCTCTCTTGCTGGCCAAACTGGAGAAGCACACATCACAAATGCATACACAGCCCATGCATCTCAGACACAGAGATCCAGGAACCAGCCAAGAAAGAGAGCAGCACTTGTGCTGCATTGAAACACAGGACTCACACCATCCTTTCCCTGCTGACATGGTGGCATGGCTAAAATGCATTACATGACTGTGAGTTTCTTTGCTTTTAAGGAAGGATGGCCAAGTGGCAATGGCGTGAGAATGATCTTTGTCTGCCCAATCTCACCCTTGTGTTACATCCCAGAAAAAGTCAGGGTGATGTCCACAGTGTTCACTAACAAGGAGGACAAAGGATTTAAGGAAACAAAGTATTTATTAACATAAAGAACTTAATGAGCCAATATAAAGAGTCAAACCCTACTTATGAAACTCTTCAGAAAAGATATTGTCCGATATGAAAGAAATTGCCTCAAGGAAAGAAATTTAACTTTCTTATATTATTTTATCTGTTTTATTTTATTTTTCCTTTGACTGGTGCGGAGAAACATACATCTGACTTCCTATTAGAGGGTCATTTGCGAAGCCAATTACAACAAGCAGGACAAAGAATTTAAGGAGAAAAAGAATTTAAGGAGACAAAGGATATCACCAATTTGAAGAGCCAGTTTCTACTCACTTCAAAAGAGATGTCGACTGAGGTGAAACATATCATTGCCCGAATGATGGAGACTTTAGTTTCTTTCATTCTTTTTATTTGCTTATTTATTTATTTTGGAGGGGTGGAGGAAAACATATATCTGACTTATTTTTAGAGGGTTATTTGCAAGGCCAATTTCATGTGCAGGTTTAGTCTCCAGGAAACAAGGGTAAGGGTTGTGAGCTAGATCCCTTCCAGCTCTAAAACACTAGACAGGGTCTGGTCTCACAAGTGGTGAACTGAGGGGAAATATGGCTTTCCTTGGACTGCTTGAGATATTCCCTTGACCTGTTCAAGGGACTCTGCTGATTCAACCATCATTAGGCTTCTTTATGGCAAGGGCATGCTGCTGGCACATGTTCAACTTGGTATCCACTGGGACCCCCAGAGCCTTTTCCACCAGCCTGCTTTTCTGGAACATGGCATTGTTCCTCCCCAGGTGAAGGACTTTGCACTTTTTCTTGTGGAACTCCATGAGGATCCTGTCAGCCCTTTTCTTCATCTTCTCCAGATCCTTTTGATGACAGCAACACCTTCTGCTGTAGCCAACACTTCTCCACCTCAGCCCACTCCTGTTTTACAGTACCTGCTGACTTACAGGGGGTACACACTGTCCCATCATTGAGATTATTTATAAGGACATTCATCACAGAAACATAGAATATCCCAAGCTGGAAGAAACCGATATGGATCATCGAGTCCAACTCCTAGCTCCACACAGCTCTACAACAAAAATTCAGACCATGTGACTAAGAGCACAAAACAAATGCACAGCCCAAATTTGCTCAAAATACCTTCTAGTCCTACATCCAAATCTTTTATAAAAACATTGATGAGAACTGGCTCTAATACGAAGCCTTGGGGGACCCCACTGGTGACTGTCCACTGCGCTGGTGTAACCCCGTTTACCATAAAACTTTAAGCAATACACATCAGATAATTATTCACCCATCGTATGATGTTTTTCTCTAGCTGTATGCTGGACGTTGTGCCCAGTAGGATCCTAAGGGAAACTGTGTCAAAAACTTTACTGAAATCCAAAAAGATTACAGCAGCTGGTTTCCCTTCATCGACGGGATAGGAAATCAAATTTGTTAAACAGAACCTACCCCTCATGAAGCCATCTTGGCTGGGACCAATAACTACTTTTTCCCCCAGAAGCGATTCAATAACTCCCAGGATTTTCTCCATAATTTTACCAAGCACTGCCATGAGACTAACAGGCCTGTAGTTTCCAGGGTCTTCTTTCTTGCCCTTCTTGAAAACTGGTACAACATTTGCAAGCTTCCAGTCAACTGGGGCCTCTCCTGATTCCCAAGAACACTGAAAAATAATTGAGAGAATTCCCACAATGATGTCAGTCAGCTCTCTGAGCACCCTGAGATGAATCCCATCCAAATCCATGGATGTGTATGGATCTAAGTGAAGTAGCAAATCCCATACACGTTAAACAATGCAATCTGTATTGATCCATGGGGTACACCAAGATTTCCTGTCATCCAACAGGACTTTATGCCATTGATCACCACTCTTCTGGGCCCAGCTGATCAGCCACAAATGCTCAGGACTCACAAGACCCACAAGAGACCTTCTAGCAAATCCTTGCTACCCACCCTTTTCCTTCAGGCACTAGCAGTCACATCTCCAGGTTGAGGACACATTCCCCCAGAACAATACCTCAATAAAGGAAACAATTAAGAATATATATAGTAAATAAAAAAGTACCCAGACAGACAGTGACCCAGGACAACAGCATCCTTTTTATTGCCAGAATGGCACTTGGGAATTCATTCCATTTCACTTTTACAGACAAGTGTACACCAGCTTAAAAATGATACAGTGTATAATGCAGCACAACAGAACATAAGGGTGTTTATGTATCCAGTCCCAGAACACCTTCTTTCCAACGAGCAATTGTTATATGTTGGATGTCAGTCCTTCTTAGGGGAATTCGTACGACAATGCTTAAATACACAGCCAAAGGAGAAAGGGAAAAAAAGGAAGATGCAAGCATTCTAACAAAAAACTGGAAGAGCAGACCATGGTAGCACTTCCCTTTCATTGAGGAACCCCTTCAAGCAAGAATGAAAACAATAACAGAAAAAAGGATATTCTGTTTTAAAGTCTATCTTTCTTCTGCATTGTAGACAAATGTCCTCTGAGGCAATGTATCAAGATGCCTTGCCATCCACCCAAACACAATGATCAGGGTCATAGCTATGTATAAGTAGTGTCTGTTGGAATCATTAGTCGTGCTATAGTTTTGAGTCACTCCCAAGCACATGGACCACTGCAAAGTCTGGCTCTGCATGTATTTGCTGTACCCTGCAGAAGAAGAGATGGCAGAACCCAGTAAAATACATGGTTCAAGCCAACTGAGGTGGAAGACCACACAGTGCAAAAACACATGGTGCTGACATGCCTCACACAGAGAGATCCAGGACTCAGCAAAGAAAGAGAGAAGCACTTCCACTGCAGTGATACACAGGGCTAACACCTTTCTTCCCTGCAGACAAGGGAGAAGGGCTATACTGCACTGTCATCTGCCCAACCTCAACATTATGTTTCAGGACAGAATAAGACAGGGTGAAAGTTAAGGTTTTTCCTATTAACAAGCACTTAGGTTGGGAGCCTGAATCAAACCTTCCTAATGAAGCAACAATATCACACCTGAAGTATATCATTGCCCGAGAACAAAGGGTGATTGCCAAGGTTTTTCCAAATGACTAGCATTTAGCAAGAGAGCCAGGATCAAACCTTGCTCATAAAGCACTTTGGAGAACTCATTATCAGAACTGAAATACATCATTGCATGAGCAGAAAGCCTTGGTTTTCTTACATTTTTTAATTCCTACTATTTTTGGTGGGGTGAAGAAAAACATACATCTGACTTAGTATTAGAAAGTCACTTGTAAAGCCAATTACAAATGTAGATTTAATCCCCAGGACACAAGACTGAATATCATTAGCCAGATACCTTCCAGCTCCAACGCATTAAGCTTTCCACTGTGTAGACACAGACCTAGTTAAAGGGAAGGCCATTAAAGTGTCCAACAGATGGTGTACCAGAGATGTCCAGGGCTGCATCCCCCATGGAGTTCGGGACGGGTGGGAAATCCTCTGTGTCAGCAACACCCCTGCCTGTGCCAGAGTGCTGTGGTGGCAGGCTGGGGAGGATGGGCTTCAGGAACTTGAACTCGCTGTTGCCCGACCCCGTGGTAAGGTTGATCTCGTAGCAATAGGCGTGGGGCAGGGTCCCAGCAGCAGCCCCAGCAGCAAGACTACTCTGCATGTTTCCTGTACCATATAGCATGTGCCCTCCTTTCAGCTCCTTTCTCTTGCACACCTTGCAAGCAACAAAGGCGGCGACAGATGTGAGGAAGAGGAGGGAGACAAAGACCAGTGAAACGATTAAATAGATTGTCAGGGAGCTGTCTTCATCCTGCACAGCCAGCTCCTGCTGTGGCAGGTGTTCCTGTGAGAGGCCATTAAGGAGGAGTACGTTCAGTGCTGCAGTGGCCGACAGAGGTGGCCGCCCATTGTCACGCACCAGCACCTCGAGCTTCTGCTTCACTGCATCCCTCTCTGTCACTGGCCTCCTCAGACGCACCTCCCCATTTTGGCTACCCACAGCAAACAGCCCGGGGTCTGTGGCCCTCAGCAGGTGGAAGGAAAGCCACGAGTTCTGACCAGAGTCCGCATCAACAGCCACCACTTTGGTGACCAGGTCCCCCACCTCAGCTGACGCTGGCACCAGCTCACTGGATGGCGGGCTGCTGTCCTGAGCAGGGTGCAACACCAGTGGGGCATTGTCGTTCTCGTCCACCACAAGAAGGCGGACGGTGACGTTGGTGCTGAGGGGAGGGGACCCCGCATCGGTGGCACTCACCAGCACCTCAAGCTGCCTCACCTGCTCATAGTCCAGTGGACGCAGCACAAACACATGTCCGTTCTCTGAGTTCACGGAGATGCAGGAGCAGGGGTCCCGCTCAGTGGGGTGCACAGGCCTCAGGGAATAGGTCACCTTGGCATTGGGTCCTGCATCTGAGTCCGCTGCACTGACAGCCCCAACAAGCACTCCAGGGATATTGTTCTCTCGCACATACATGGTGTATGATGTCTGGTTGAAGACAGGGGCATTGTCATTTACATCGGAGATGTCCACTGTGAAGGTTTGGGTAGTGGTGAGAGGAGGAGAGCCTGTGTCTGCCGCTGTGATGACCACAAGGTACTGAGATGTCTCCTCCCGATCCAACGTGGTTGCTGTAACTAACTCATAGTAATTCTTATAGGCTGGCCTCAGGGAGAAGGAGAGCTGGTCTGCAAGACCACAGATGATCTCCCCATTCACACCAGAATCCCTGTCCCTCACAGCAAAGAGGGCTACCAATGTCCCAGGCTCCGTGTTCTCAGGGAGGGGGCTGCTGAAGGAACTCACCACCACCTCCGGTGCATTGTCATTCATATCCACCAACTCCACGACTATATTGCACATGCCTGAGAGACCCCCACCATCAGTTGCCTGTACACTGAGCTCATATTTCTGTGTGGTCTCAAAATCCAGGGGCTTTGTGACACGAATTTCACCACTCGTGTCATCAATTGTGAAAGGCAATTGGCTCTCACTGACTGCTTGGCTGAACGTATAGGAGATGTCACCATTCAGTCCCACGTCTGGATCATTAGCCACGACACTGAGAACCACAGAGCCTGCTGGGGCATTTTCCAATATCCGACCAATGTAAAGCTTCTGTGTGAAGGTAGGAGCATTGTCATTTGCATCTAGAACTATGATGTGGATTTGGGCAGTCCCGCTCCTAGGTGGAGAGCCACCGTCTGTGGCAATGAGACTCAAAAGGAGCTCTGGCTGCTCCTCTCTGTCGAGAGGCTTTTCCAATACCAATTCTATATACTTGTTACCTTCAGCCAGATTCTCAGAGGAAACACTGAAGTACTCGTTCTCGGGAGCGATGGTGTAAGCCTGGATACTGTTGCTGCCAACGTCCAGGTCCTGAGCCGCCTCCACGGGAAAACGCAATCCAGGGTTGCTGGATTCCGGGATCTTAAAAGTTACTCGTTTCCCGGGAAAGACCGGTGAGTGGTCGTTGACGTCCTCCACGGCCACCTCGACACGAAAGAACTGCAGCGGGTTTTCCAGCAGGAGCTCGAAGGCGAGCGTGCAGGTAAGCGAGCGGCCGCACATCTCCTCGCGATCGAGCCGCTCCGCCAGGACGAGGCGGCCGGTGGCGCGCTCTAAGCGAAAATGCTGCCGGCCGTCCGCGGAGGCAATGCGTGCCCGGCGAGCCGACAGCTGCGCCGGCGTCAGCCCCGCGTCCTCCGCCACGTTGGCCACCACGGAGCCGCTCTCCCCCTCCTCGGCTACGGAGTAGCGGATGGGCTCGCAGCGAACGCGCGGCACGCACAGCAAAGCACACAGACAAAGCACTTGCCTTGCAGACGCCATGGCGGGGCGGCGGACACCCTCCGTCTGCCGCAGTCCTCCGCGGGAAGCGGCGCCCGGCAGCAGCGCGGCGCCAAGGGCGGGCGCCCTCCCTCGCGGCCTCCCTCTCTCCCTCTCGCCGAGCTCGGCTGGCGGCCCGCAGCGCGGCACTCCGGGACCGGCAGCGGCTGCTGCGGAGGACGCCGCGGACGACCGCTCGCCGCCGCCTCCCGGCTGCGCTGCGCTGCGCTGCGCTGGGCTCGGCCGCCTCCCCGCTCGCAGCCGCTCGCCGCCGCCTTGGCCACGAGCACCACCCTGCGGCCTGCGGCGGGACTGCTCCGGGACGGGACGCGCTCCTGGCCGCCGACTCGCAGCCTTTCACAAACGCCGGCGTGCTCACACAGCTTGCCTGCAAACTATACGGCTACAAGGACTCTCCCAACAGCAGCAGGCTGTTTGTGGCTGGAATAGCGCTCGGGTGTTCTTCCCATGTCACCTTTACAGGAAAGCGTGTCCTGCGTGGCCGTGATGCAGCGTATGACTGCAGAGCAAAGCAGCGTGAGCTTTTCCAAATGTTCAGTGCCATACCACCACCGTTCCAAAAACATCTTCTGCCTGTGGTGACAGTCCTTCTTCAGGGGAATAGGTAACACCATGCTCCAACACAACTCATACAGGAAAAGACAATGGGAAAAAGGGGAATGAGAGCTTTCTAACACCATGGAACTAAACCCACGAATAATCATGTCAGACTGAACTCTTGTCTCATGGAGAAGCAAGAGCAAGTGGGAAGGAAAGTGATGCGATAAAACCGGAACACCAGTTTTTAAATTAGTCTAGGTATAGAGTCGTCGTTCATTTACCGTGGAATCCTGGAATTAGAGGTGCACAGTGCTTTATAGCTATCATCGATCTTATCATGGAGAGTGCTTCTAGAGCTTTCAGGCAATCTCCAGGAGACAAACAACCCTCCTTTTCTAAACCACAGGGATCTCTGGCTGTGCACGTATTTTCTGTCCCCTGGAGATGATAGTACTCAGTCTAAGCACCTCTCTTGCTGGCCCAGCTCGAGGAGCACACATCACAAATACACACAGGGCCTATGCATCTCAGACACAGAGATCCAGGAACCAGCTAAAGAAAGAAAGATGCACTTGTGATGCATTGAAGCACAGGACTCACACCATCCTTTCCCTGCTGACATGGGGACATGGCTAAAGTGCATTACATGACTGAGTTGCTTTGCTTTTAAGGAAGGATGGCCAAGTGGCATTACCATGAGAATGATCTTTGTCTGCCCAATCTTACCCTTGTGTTACATCCCAGAAAAAGACAGGGTGGGGTCCACAGCGTTCCCTAACAAGGAGGACAAATTAATTAAGGAGCCAAAGAACTTAACGAGACAAAGTACTTAACGAGCCAATTTAAATAGGGAAACCCTACAAACGAAATACTTCAGAAAAGATATTGTCCGAGATGAAACAAATTGCCTGAAGGAAAGAAATTTTACTTTCTTGATTTTATCTGTTTTATTTTAATTTTTCTTTGAGGGGTGAAGAAAAACACACATCTGACTTCGAATTAGAGGGTCATTTGTGAAGTCAATTAAACAAGCAGGAAAAAGAACTTAAGAAACCAAAGAATTTAAGGAGAGAAAGAAATTAACGAGACAATTTGAAGAGCCAACTTTTGGTCACTTCAGAAGAGATCTCGAGTGAGGTGAAACATATCATTGCCTGAATGATGGAGACTTTAGTTTCTTTCATTCAATTTATCGTCTTTTTTTTTTTTATTATTTTTGAGGTGTAGATAAAATATATATCTGACTTTTTTTCAGATGGTAATTTCAAAGGCCAATTTCAAGTGCAGGTTTACTCTGCAGGAAACAAGGGTTAAGGGTTGTGAGCTAGATCTCTTCCAGCTCTAAAACACTAGACAGGGTCTGGCCTCACCAGTGGTGAACAGAAGGGAAATACAGCGTTCCTTGGACTACTCGAGATATTCCCTTGACTTGTTCAAGAGACTCTGCTGATTCAACCATCATTAAGCTTCTTTATGGCAAGGGTATGATGCTGGCACATGTTCAACTTGGTATGCACTGGGACCCCCAGAGCCTTTTCCACCAGCCTGCTTTTCTGGAACATGGCATTGTTCCTCCCCAAGTGAAGGACTTTGCACTTTTTCTTGTGGAACTCCATGAGGATCCTGTCAGCCCATTTCTTCATCTTCTCCAGATCCTTTTGATGACAGCAACACCTTCTGCTGTAGCCAAGACTTCCCCACCTCAGCACACTCCCGTTTTACAGTAGCTGACTTACAGGGGGTACACTCTGTCCCATTATTTATATTATTTATAAGGACATTCATCAACGAATAAGAGGAATACCCAAGTGGGAAGAAACCCATATGAATCATCGAGTCCAAGTCCTGGCTCCACACAGCTCTACAACAAAAATTCAGACCATGTGACTAAGAGCACAAACGAAATGCACAGCCCAAATTTGCTCAAAATACCTTCTAGTCCTACATCCAAATCGTTTATAAAAACATTGAAGAGAACTGGCTCTAAAACAAAGCCTTGGGGTACCCCACTGGTGACCAGCTGCTGGCCTGATCCAACCCCATTTACCATAAACCTTCGAGCACAACCCATCAGATCATTATTAATGCATTCTATGATGATTTTGTCTAGCTGTATGCTGGACATTGTGCCCAGTAGGGTCCTAAGGGGAACTGTGTAAAAAGCTTTACTGAAATCCAAAAAGATTACAGCAGCTGGTTTCCCTTCATCAACTACATGGGTGATCTTATAATAAACGGAAATTAAATTTGTTAAACAGAACCTACCCCTCATGAAGACATCTTGGCTGGGACCAATGACTGTGTTGTCCCCAGGTGTGATTTAATAACTCCCAGAATAATCTCCATAATTCTACCCTGCACTGCCATGACACTAACAGGCCTGTAGCTTCCAGGGTCTTCTTTCTTGCCCTTCTTGAAAACTGGTACAACATTTGCCAGCTTCCAGCCAACTGGGGCCTCTCCAGATTCCCAAGAACACTGAAAATTTGTTGAGAGAATTCCCACAGTGATATCAGTCAGCTCTCTGAGCACCCTGAGATGAAACCCATCCAAATCCATGGACGTGTATGGATCCATGTGGAGCAGCCAATCCCACACATGTTGAACAATGCAATCAGTGGTGAACAATATGGGATACCAATAGTTCCTGGCATCCAACAGGACTTTGTGCCACTGATCACCACTCTTCTGGGCCCAGCTGCTCGGCCGCTTCTTATGCTCAGTGCTCACAAGGCCCACAAGAGACCTGCCACGACATCCTAGATACCCACCCTTTTCCTTCAGGCACTAGCAGTCACATCTCCAGGTTGAGAACACATGCCACCAAACCAAAACCTCCATTAAGGAACCAATTAAAAATATATAGAATAAATAAAAAAGTACCCAGACAGACAGTGACCCAGGACAACAGCATCCTTTTTATTGCCAGAATGGCACTCGGGCATTCATTTCATTTCACTTTTACAGACAAGGGTATACAAGCTTAAAAATGGTACAGTGTATAATGCAGCACAACAGAACATAAGGGTGTTTATGTATCCAGTCCCAGAACACCTTCTTTCCAACGAGCAATTGTTATATGTTGGATGTCAGTCCTTCTTAAGGGGAATTCGTAAGACAATGTTAAAATACACAGCCAAAGGAGAAAGGGAAAAAAAGCAAGATGCAAGCATTCTAACAAAAACCTGGAAAACCAGACCATGATAGCACTTCCCTTTCATTGAGGAACCCCTTCAAGCAAGAATGAAAACAATGACACAAAAAAAGACAATGACACAAAAAAGTCTATCTTCTGCCTTGCAGACAAACATCCTCTGAGGCAATGTATCAAGATGCCTTGAAATCCACCCAAACACAATGATCAGGGTCAAAGCTATGTATAATTAGTGTCTGTTGGAATTGTTAGTCGTGCTATAGTTTTGAGTCACTCCCAAGAACATCGACCACTGCAAAGTCTGGCTCTGCATGTATTTGCTGTGCCCTGCAGAAGATGAGATGGCACAACCCAGTAAAATACATGGTTCAAGACAACTGAGGTGGAAGACCACACACTGCAAAACCGCATGGTGCCAACATGCCTCACACAGAGAGATCCAGGACTCAGCAAAGAAAGAGAGAAGAGCTTGCACTGCAGTGATACACAGGGCTAACACCTTTCTTCCCTGCAGACAAGGGAGGAGGGCTATACTGCACTGTAAACTGCCCAGACTCAACATTGTGTTTCAGCACAGAATAAGACAGGGTGATTGCCAAGATTTTTCCTAATGACAAGCATTTAGCCAGAGAGCCAGGATCAAACCTTGCTCATGAAGCACTTTGGAGAACTCAGTATCAGAGCTGAAACACATCATTGCATGAGCAGAAAGCCTTGGTTTTCTTACATTATTTAATTCCGAACCTTTTTGGAGGGGTGAAGAAAAACATATATCTTACTTAGTGTTAGAGGATCACTTGTGAAGAAAATTACAAAGGCAGTTTTAACCTCCAGGAAACAAGACCGAATACCTTTAGCCAGATCCCTTCCAGCTCCAACGCATGAAGCTTTCCACTGTGTGTACTCAGGCCTAATTAAAGGGAAGGCCATTAAAGTGTCCAACAGATGGTGTACCAGAGATGTCCAGGGCTGCATCCCCCATGGAGTTAGGGATGGGCGGGAAATCCTCTGTGTCAGCAACACCCCTGCCTGTGCCAGAGTGCTGTGGTGGCAGGCTGGGGAGGATGGGCTTCAGAAACTTGAACTCACTGTTGCCCGACCCCGTGGTGAGGTTGACCTCGTAGCAATAGGTGTGGGGTAGGGTCCCAGCAGCAGCCCCATCAGCAAGACTGCTCTGCAAGATGCCCATGCCATACAGCACGTGCCCTCCTTTAAGATCCTTTCTCTTGAGCAACTTGCAAGCAACAAAGGCTGCGACAGATGTGAGGAAGAGGAGGGAGACAAAGACCAGTGAAACGATTAAATAGATTGTCAGGGAGCTGTCTTCATCCTGCACAGCCAGCTCCTGCTGTGGCAGGTGTTCCTGTGAGAGGCCATTAAGGAGGAGTACGTTCAGTGCTGCAGTGGCCGACAGAGGTGGCCGCCCATTGTCACGCACCAGCACCTCGAGCTTCTGCTTCACTGCATCCCTCTCTGTCACTGGCCTCCTCAGACGCACCTCCCCATTTTGGCTACCCACAGCAAACAGCCCGGGGTCTGTGGCCCTCAGCAGGTGGAAGGAAAGCCACGAGTTCTGACCAGAGTCCGCATCAACAGCCACCACTTTGGTGACCAGGTCCCCCACCTCAGCCGACGCTGGCACCAGCTCACTGGATGGCGGGCTGCTGTCCTGAGCAGGGTGCAACACCAGTGGGGCATTGTCGTTCTCGTCCACCACGAGGAGGCGGACGGTGACGTTGGTGCTGAGGGGAGGGGACCCCGCATCCGTGGCACTCACCAGCACCTCAAGCTGCCTCACCTGCTCATAGTCCAGTGGACGCAGCACAAACACATGTCCGTTCTCTGAGTTCACGGAGATGCAGGAGCAGGGGTCCTGCTTAGAGGGGTGCACAGGCCTCAGGGAATAGGTCACCTTGGCATTGGGTCCTGCATCTGAGTCCGCTGCACTGACAGCCCCAACAAGCACTCCAGGGATATTGTTCTCTCGCACATACATGGTGTATGATGTCTGGTTGAAGACGGGGGCATTGTCATTGACATCGGAAATGTCCACAGTGAAGGTCTGGGTAGTGGTGAGAGGAGGAGAACCTGCGTCTGCTGCTGTGATGACCACAAGGTACTGAGATGTCTCCTCCCGATCCAACGTGGTCGCTGTCACTAACTCATAGTAATTCTTATAGGCTGGCCTCAGGGAGAAGAAGACCTGATCTTCAAGGGCACAGCTGATCTCCCCATTCACACCAGAATCCCGGTCCCTCACAGCAAATACTGCTACCACTGTCCCAGGCTCCGTGTTCTCGAAGAGGGGGCTGCTGAAGGAACTGACCACCAGTTCCGGTGCATTATCATTCACATCCATCACCTCCACCACTGCATTGCACATGCCTGAGAGACCCCCACCATCAGTTGCCAGCATACTGAGCTCATATTTCTGTGTGGTCTCAAAATCCAGGGGCTTTGTGACACGAATTTCACCACTCGTGTCATCAATTGTGAAAGGCAATTGGCTCTCACTGACTGCTTGGCTGAACGTATAGGAGATGTCACCATTCAGTCCCACGTCTGGATCGGTGGCTAAAACTCTGAGAACCACAGAGCCTGCTGGGGCACTTTCCAAAACCTGACCAACATAAACGTCCTGACTAAAGGTGGGAGCGTTGTCATTTACATCTAGAACTATGATGTGGATTTGGGCAGTCCCGCTCCTAGGTGGAGAGCCACCGTCTGTGGCAATGAGACTGAAAAGCAGCTCAGGCTGCTCCTCCCTGTCTAGAGGCTTTTCCAATACCAATTCTATAAACTTTTTTCTCGGATGCTTAAAGGAAACACTGAAGTACTCGTTCTCGGGAGCGATGGTGTAAGCCTGGAGGCTGTTGCTGCCAACGTCCAGGTCCTGAGCCGCCTCCACGGGGAAACGCGAGCCAGGGTCTCCCCTTTCCGGGATCTGAAGAGTGACTCGTTCCCCGGGAAAGACCGGCGAGTGGTCGTTGACGTCCTCCACGGCCACCTCGACACGAAAGAACTGCAGCGGGTTTTCCAGCAGGAGCTCGAAGGCGAGCGTGCAGGTAAGCGAGCGGCCGCACATCTCCTCGCGATCGAGCCGCTCCGCCAGGACGAGGCGGCCGGTGGCGCGCTCTAAGCGAAAATGCTGCCGGCCGTCCGCGGAGGCAATGCGTGCCCGGCGAGCCGACAGCTGCGCCGGCGTCAGCCCCGCGTCCTCCGCCACGTTGGCCACCACGGAGCCGCTCTCCCCCTCCTCGGCTACGGAGTAGCGGATGGGCTCGCAGCGAACGCGCGGCACGCACAGCAAAGCACACAGACAAAGCACTTGCCTTGCAGACGCCATGGCGGGGCGGCGGACACCCTCCGTCTGCCGCAGTCCTCCGCGGGAAGCGGCGCCCGGCAGCAGCGCGGCGCCAAGGGCGGGCGCCCTCCCTCGCGGCCTCCCTCTCTCCCTCTCGCCGAGCTCGGCTGGCGGCCCCCAGCGCGGCACTCCGGGACCGGCAGCGGCTGCTGCGGAGGACGGCGCGGACGACCGCTCGCCGCCGCCTCCCGGCTGCGCTGCGCTGCGCTGCGCTGCGCTGGGCTCGGCCGCCTCCCCGCTCGCAGCCGCTCGCCGCCGCCTTGGCCACGAGCACCACCCTGCGGCCTGCGGCGGGACTGCTCCGGGACGGGACGCGCTCCTGGCCGCCGACTCGCAGCCTTGCACAAACGCCGGCGTGCTCACACAGCTTGCCTGCAAACTATACGGCTACAAGGACACTCCCAACAGCAGCAGGCTTTTTGTGGCTGGAATAGCGTTCGGGTGTTCTTTTCATTTCACCTTTACAGGAAAGCGTGTCCTTCGTGGCCGTGATGTAGCGTATGACTGCAGCTCAATGCAGCACGAGCTTTTCCAAAAGTTCACTGCCATAGCACCATTTTTCTAACAACGTGTTCACCTGTTCTTCTGCCGGTGGTGACAATCCTTCTTCAGGGGAATAGGTAACACAATGCTCCAACACAACTGATACAGGAAATGAGAATGGGAATAAGGGGAAAGAAAGCTTTCTAACACCATGGAACTAAACCCATGAATAATCATGTCAGAGTGCACTCTTGTCTCATGGAGAAGCTAGAGTAAGCGGGAAGGAAAGCAATGGGATAAAACTGAGAGACCAGTTTTTATCATTTCTTTGGGAAAGACTTGTCGTTTATTTACCTTAGAATCCAGGCATTACCATGAGAATGATCTTTGTCTGCCCAATCTCACCCTTGTGTTATAACCCAGAAAAGACAGGGTGAGGTCCACAGCGTTCCCTAACAAGGAGGACAAATTAATTAAGGAGCCAAAAATTTAAAGAGACAAAGTACTTAACGAGCCAATTTAAAGAGCCAAACCCTACTAATGAGGTGCTTCAGAAAAGATATTGTCCCAGATGAAACAAATTGCCTGAAAGAAAGAAACTTTACTTTCTTGATTTTTTTTATCTCTTATTTTTCCTTTGAGGGGTGAAGAATAACATACCTCTGATTTCCTATTGGAGGGTAATTTGCGAAGCCAATTACAACAACCGGGGAAAGAATTTAAGGAGAAAAAGAATTTTACGTGACAACTTAACGAGCCAGTCTGAAGCACCAATTTCTACTCATTCAGAAGAGATCTCGACTGAGGTGAAACATATCATTGCCTGAATAATGGAGACTTTGGATTCTTTCATTCTTTTTATTTCCTTATTTATTAATTTCGGAGGTGTAGAGGAAAACATATACCTGACTTATTTTTAGAGGGTTATTTGCAATGCCAGTTTCAACTGCAGGTTTACTCTCCAGGAAACAAGGGTTAAGGGTTGTGAGCTAGATCCCTTCCAGCTCTAAAACACTAGACAGGATCTGGCCTCACCAGTGCTGAACAGAAGGGAAATATTGCTTTCCTTGCACTGCTCAAGATATTCCCTTGACCTGTTCAAGAGACTCTGCTGATTCAACCATCATTAGGCTTCTTTATGGCAAGGTCAAGCTGCTGGCACATGTTCAACTTGGTATCCACTGATACCCAGAGAGCCTTTTCCACCAGCCTGCTTTTCTGGAACATGGCATTGTTCCTCCCCAGGTGAAGGACTTTGCACTTTTCCTTGTGGAAGTCCATGAGGATCCTGTCAGCCCATTTCTCCAGGTTCTCCAGATCCTTTTAATGACAGCAACACCCTCTGCAGTAGCCGACGCTTCTCCACCTCAGCACACTCCATTTTACAGTACCTGCTGACTTACAGGGGGCACAATCTGTCCCATCATTGAGATTATTTATAAGGATATTCAACACAGAATAAAAAGAATATCCCAAGCTGGAAGAAACCCGTAAGGATCATCTAGTGACCCTCCTGGCTCTTCATAGGTCTAAAAATAATTCACACCATGTGACTAAGAGCACAAACCAAATGTACAGCCCAAATTTGCTCAAAATACCTTCTAGTCCTACATCCAAATCGTTTATAAAAACATTGAAGAGAACTGGCTCTAAAACGAAGCCTTGGGGGACCCCACTGGTGACTGGCCGATACCCTGGTGCAGCCCCATTTACCGTAAACCTTTGAGCAATACCCATCAGATAATTATTCACCCATCGTATGATGTTTTTGTCTAGCCATATGCTGGATATTTTGCTCAGTAGGATCCTAAGGGAAACTGTGTCAAAAGCTTTACTGAAATCCAAAAAGATTACAGCAGCTGGTTTCCCTTCATCGACTAGATGGGTGATCTCATAATAAAAGGAAATCAAATTTGTTAAACAGAACCTACCCCTCATGAAGCCATCTTGGCTGGGACCAATGACTGTGTTGTCCCCCAGGTGTGATTCAATAACTCCCAGGATTATCTCCATAATTTTACCTTGCACTGCCATGACACTAACAGGCCTGTAGTTTCCAGGGTCTTCTTTCTTGCCCTTCTTGAAAACTGGTACAACATTTGCCATCTTCCAATCAACTGGGACCTCTCCCGATTCCCAAGAACATTGAAAAATCATTGAGAGAATTCCCACTATGATGTTAGTCAGCTCTCTGAGCACCCTGAGATGAATCTCATCTAAAACCATGGACTTGTTTGGATCCAGGTGGAGCAGCAAATCCCACACACATTAAACAATGCGATCTGTATTGATCCATGGGGTACACCAAGAGTTCCTGGCATCCAACAGGACTTTATGCCACTGATCACCACTCTTCTGGGCCCACCTGTTCAGCTACATATGCTCAGTTTCACAAGACTCACAAGAGGTCTTCTAGCAAATCCTTGCTACCCACCCTTTTACTTCAGGCACTAGCAGTCACAACTCTAGGTAGAGGACAAGTTCCCACAGAATAATACCTCAATAAAAGAACCAAGTAAATATATATATAATAAATAAAAAAGCACCCAGACTTTGGAAAAACCATGGATCCTTTACAGAGCCTTCCTGATAAGAACAATACTACAAAGACTCTCTCCACAGCAGCATCCTTTTTATTGCCAGAATGGCACTTGGGCATTCGTTCAATTTCACTTTTACAGACAAGGGTATACTAGCCTAAAAATAATACAGTGTATCATGCAGCACAACAGATCATGAGGGTGTTTATGTACCCAGTCCCAGAACACCTCCTTTTCAACAAACCATTGTTATAGGTTGGGTATCAGCCCTTCTTAAGGGGAATTCATAAGACAATGTTTAAATACACAGAGAAAGGAGAAAGGGAAAAAAAGGAAGATGTAAGCATTCTAAGAAAAACTTGGAAAACCAGACCATGATAGCACTTCCCTTTCATTGAGGAACCCTTTCAAGCAAGAATGAAAAAAATGACACAAAAAAAGACATTCCTTTTTAAAGCCTATCTTTCTTCTGCCTTGTGGAGTAATGTCCTCTGAGGCAATGTATCAAGATGCCTTGCCATCCACCCAAACACAATGATCAGGGTCAAAGCTATGTATAAGTAGTGTCTATGTTGGAATCTTTAGTCCTGCTATAGCTTTGAGTCACTCCCAAGCACATGGACCACTGCAAAGTCTGGCTCTGCATGTTTTTCCTGTGCCCTGCAGAAGATGGAATGGCAGAACCCAGTGAAATACATGGTTCATGCCAACTGAGGTGGAAGACCACATAGTGCAAAACCGCATGGTGCCAACATGTCTCACACAGAGAGATCCAGGACTCAGCAAAGAAAGAGTAGCACTTGCACTGCAGTGATACGCAGGGCTAACACCTTTCTTCCCTGCAGAGTAGGGAGGAGGGTTATACTGCACTGTCATCTGCAGAACCTCAACATTGTGTTTCATCACACAGACTAAGACAGGGTGACAGTTAAGGTTTTCCTAATGACAAGCACTTAGCCTGGGAGCCTGAATCAAACCTTCCTCATGAGGCACCAATATTAGCCCTGAAAAACATCTTTATCTGAGCAAAAAGACCTTCGTTCTATTATATATACGTTATATTAATTTCTAATATTTTTGGAGGGGAGAAGAAAAACATACATCAGACTTAGTGTTAGAGGGTCACTTGTGAAAGAAAATTACAAATGCAGTTTTAATCTCCAGGAAACAAGACTGAATATCTTTAGCCAGATCCCTTCTAGCTCAAAGACGTGTAGCTTTTCACTGTGTGGACTCAGGTCTAGTTAAAGGGAAGGCCATTAAAGTGTCCAACAGATGGTGTACCAGAGATGTCCAGGGCTGCATCACCCATGGAGTTAGGGATGGGCAGGAAATCCTCTGTGTCAGCAACACCCCTGCCTGTGCCAGAGAGCTGTGGTGGCACGCTGGGGAGGATGGGCTTCAGGAACTTGAACTCGCTGTTGCCCGACCCTGTGGTAAGGTTGATCTCATAGCAATAGCCGTGGGGCAGGGTCCCAGCAGCAGCCCCAGCAGCAAGACTGCTCTGCAAGTTGCCCGTGCCATACAGCATGTGCCCTCCTTTCAGCTCCTTTCTCTTGAACACCTTGCAAGCAACAAAGGCTGCGACAGATGTGAGGAAGAGGAGGGAGACAAAGACCAGTGAAACGATTAAATAGATTGTCAGGGAGCTGTCTTCATCCTGCACAGCCAGCTCCTGCTGTGGCAGGTGTTCCTGTGAGAGGCCATTAAGGAGGACTACGCTCAGTGCTGCAGTGGCTGACAGAGGTGGCTGCCCATTGTCACGCACCAGCACCTCGAGCTTCTGCTTCACGGCATCCCTCTCTGTCACTGGCCTCCTCAGACGCACCTCCCCATTTTGGCTACCCACAGCAAACAGCCCGGGGTCTGTGGCCCTCAGCAGGTGGAAGGAAAGCCACGAGTTCTGACCAGAGTCCGCATCAACGGCCACCACTTTGGTGACCAGGTCCCCCACCTCAGCCGACGCTGGCACCAGCTCACTGGATGGCGGGCTGCTGTCCTGAGCAGGGTGCAACACCAGTGGGGCATTGTCGTTCTCGTCCACCACGAGGAGGCGGACGGTGACGTTGGTGCTGAGGGGAGGGGACCCCGCATCCGTGGCACTCACCAGCACCTCAAGCTGCCTCACCTGCTCATAGTCCAGTGGACGCAGCACAAACACATGTCCGTTCTCTGAGTTCACGGAGATGCAGGAGCAGGGGTCCCGCTCAGTGGGGTGCACAGGCCTCAGGGAATAGGTCACCTTGGCATTGGGTCCTGCATCTGAGTCCACTGCATTGACAGCCCCAACAAGCACTCCAGGGATATTGTTCTCTCGCACATACATGGTGTATGATGTCTGGTTGAAGACAGGGGCATTGTCATTGACATCGGAGATGTCCACAGTGAAGGTCTGGGTAGTGGTGAGAGGAGGAGATCCTGAGTCTGCCGCTAGGATGACCACAAGGTACTGAGATGTCTCCTCCCGATCCAACGTGCTCACTGTCACTAACTCATAGTAATTTTTATAGGCTGGCCTCAGGGAGAAGGAGAGCTGGTCTTTAAGGGCACAGCTGATCTCCCCATTCACACTGGAATCCCTGTCTCTGACAGAAAATACAGCTACCACTGTCCCAGGCTCTGTGTTCTCAGGGAGGGGGTTGCTGAAAGAACTGATCACCACTTCTGGTGCATTGTCATTCACATCCACCACTTCCACCAACACCTTGCACAGTGCTGAGAGGCCCCCACCATCAGTTGCCCTCACACGGAACTCATGTTTCTGTGTGGTCTCAAAGTCCAGGGGTTTTGCAACTCGAATTTCACCACTCATACTGTCAATTGTGAATGTGGACTGGCTGTCCTCAGGAACATTGCTGAACCTATAGGAGATGTCACCATTCACTCCCATGTCTGGATCTGTTGCAACAACGCTGAGAATCACAGAACCTATTGTGACATTTTCAAAAACACGTCCAATGTAATGCTTCTGTGTGAAGGTAGGAGCATTGTCATTTACATCTAGAACTACGATGTGGATTTGGGTGGTCCCGGTCCTAGGTGGAGAGCCACCGTCTGTGGCAATGAGATTGAAAAGTAGCTCTGGCTGCTCCTCTCTGTCTAGTGTTTGATCTAAGACCAAATCTACATAATTGTCATCGTCACCGTGAGTCCCGAAAGAGACACTGAAGTACTCGTTCTCGGGAGCGATGGTGTAAGCCTGGATGCTGTTGCTGCCAACGTCCAGGTCCTGAGCCGCCTCCACAGGGAAACGCAATCCAGGGTCGCTGGATTCCAAGATCTGAAAAGTGACTCGTTCCTCGGGAAAGACCGGCGAGTGGTCGTTGACGTCCTCCACGGCCACCTCGACACGAAAGAACTGCAGCGGGTTTTCCAGCAGGAGCTCGAAGGCGAGCGTGCAGGTAAGCGAGCGGCCGCACATCTCCTCGCGATCGAGCCGCTCCGCCAGGACGAGGCGGCCGGTGGCGCGCTCTAAGCGAAAATGCTGCCGGCCGTCCGCGGAGGCAATGCGTGCCCGGCGAGCCGACAGCTGCGCCGGCGTCAGCCCCGCGTCCTCCGCCACGTTGGCCACCACGGAGCCGCTCTCCCCCTCCTCGGCTACGGAGTAGCGGATGGGCTCGCAGCGAACGCGCGGCACGCACAGCAAAGCACACAGACAAAGCACTTGCCTTGCAGACGCCATGGCGGGGCGGCGGACACCCTCCGTCTGCCGCAGTCCTCCGCGGGAAGCGGCGCCCGGCAGCAGCGCGGCGCCAAGGGCGGGCGCCCTCCCTCGCGGCCTCCCTCTCTCCCTCTCGCCGAGCTCGGCTGGCGGCCCGCAGCGCGGCACTCCGGGACCGGCAGCGGCTGCTGCGGAGGACGCCGCGGACGACCGCTCGCCGCCGCCTCCCGGCTGCGCTGCGCTGCGCTGCGCTGCGCTGGGCTCGGCCGCCTCCCCGCTCGCAGCCGCTCGCCGCCGCCTTGGCCACGAGCACCACCCTGCGGCCTGCGGCGGGACTGCTCCGGGACGGGACGCGCTGCTGGCCGCCGACTCGCAGCCTTTCACAAACGCCGGTGTTCGGGTGTTCTTCCCATGTCACCTTTACAGGAAAGTGTGTCCTTCGTGGCCGTGATGCAGCGTATGACTGCAGCTCAATACAGCATGAGCTTTTCCAAATGTTCAGTGCCATACCACCGTTGTTCCACCAAACTGTTCACCTGTTCTTCTGCCTGTGGTGACAGTCCTTCTTCAGGGGAATAGATAACACCATGGTCCCACACAACTCATACAGGAAAAGAGAAATGGAAAACGTAGAATGAGAGCTTTCTAAAACCATGAAACCATGAAAAATTCATGAAGAAGCTATAGGAAGTGGGAAGGAAATTGATGGGATAAAACTGAGAGACCAGTTTTTAACTTTGTCTAGGTATAGAGTGGTCGTTCATTTACCATAAAATCCTGGCAAGCAGAAGTGCACAGTGCTTTATAGCTATCATGATACTAGCATTCTGACTGCTTCTACAGCTTTGAGGAAATCTCCAGGAGACAGCCAAACCACCTTTTCTAAACCACAGGGATCATTGTGCACGTTTTTTCTGTCCTCTGGAGGTGATAGTACTCTGTCTAAGCATCTTTCTTGCTGGCCAAACTGGAGAAGCACACATCACAAATGCATACACAGCCCATGCATCTCAGACACAGAGATCCAGGAACCAGACAAGAAAGAGAGCAGCACTTGTGCTGCATTGAAACACAGGACTCACACCATCCTTTCCCTGCTGACGTGGGGACATGGCTAAAGTGCATTACATGAGCGTGACTTGCTTTGCTTTTAAGGAAGGATGGCCAAGTGGCAATGGTGTGAGAATGATCTTTGTCTGCCCAATCTCACCCTTGTGTTACATCCCGGAAAGGACAGTGTGAGGTCCACAGTGTTTCCTAGCAAGGAGGACTAATTAATTAGGGAGCCAAAGAATTTAACAAGAAAAAGTAGTTAACGAGCGAATTAAAAGAGCCAAACCCTACTAATTAAGTACATCAGAAAAGATATTGTCTGATATGAAAAAAATTGCCTGAAGGAAAGAAACTTTACTTTCTTAATTTTATTTTTTCTGTTTTATTTTATTTTTCCTTTGACTGGTGAGGAGAAACATACATCTGACTTCATATTAGAGGGTCCTTTGCGAAGCTAATTAAACAAGCAGGACAAAGAATTTAAGGAGAAAAAGAATTTAAGGAGACAAAGAACTTAACAAGATAATCTGAAGAGCCAATTTCTACTCACTTCAGAAGAGATGTCGACTGAGGTGAAACATATCATTGCCTGAATGATGGAGACTTTAGTTTCTTTCATTCTATTTATTTACTTATTTATTTATTTTGGAGGGGTGGAGGAAAACATATATCTGACTTATTTTTAGAAGGTTATTTGCAAGGCCAATTTCATGTGCAGGTTTAGTCTCCAGGAAACAAGGGTAAGGGTTGTGAGCTAGATCCCTTCCAGCTCTAAAACACTAGACAGGGTCTGACCTCACCAGTGCTGAACAGAAGGGAAATACAGCTTTCCTTGGACTGCTCGAGATATTCCCTTGACCTGTTCAAGAGATTCTGCTGATTCAACCATCATTAGGCTGCTTTATGGCAAGGGCATGCTGCTGGCACATGTTCAACTTGGTATCCACTGGGACCCAGAGAGCCTTTTCCACCAGCCTGCTTTTCTGGAACATGGCATTGTTCCTCCCCAAGAGAAGGACTTTGCACTTTTTCTTGTGGAACTCCATGAGGATCCTGTCAGCCCATTTCTTCATGTTCTCCAGATCCTTTTGATGACAGCAACACCTTCTGCTGTAGCCAACACTTCTCCACCTCAGCCCACTCCCGTTTTACAGTACCTGCTGACTTACAGGGGGTACACTCTGTCCCATTATTGAGATTATTTATAAGGACATTCATCACAGAAACATAGAATATCCCAAGCTGGAAGAAACCTATACGGATCATCGAGTCCAACTCCTGTCTCCACACAGCTCTACAACAGAAGTTCAGACCATGTGACTAAGAGCACAAACCAAATGCACAGCCCAAATTTGCTCAAAATACCTTCTAGTTCTACATCCAAATCTTTTATAAAAACATTGAAGAGAACTGGATCTAAAACAGAGCCTTGGGGGACCCCGCTGGTGACTGGCCGATACCCTGGTGCAGCCCCATTTACCATAAACATTTGAGCAGTACCCATCAGATAATTATTCACCCATCGTATGATGTTTTTGTCTAGCTGTATGCTGGACATTGTGCCCAGAATGATCCTAAGGGAAACTGTGTCAAAAGCTTTACTGAAATCCAAAAAGATTACAGCAGATGGTTTCCCTTCATCGACTAGATGGGTGATCTCATAATAAAAGGAAATCAAATTTGTTAAACAGAACCTACCCCTCATGAAGCCATCTTGGCTGGGACCAATGACTGTGTTGTCCCCCAGGTGTAATTCAATAACTCCCAGAATAATCTATATTCTATATTCTATATTATTCTATATTCTATATTATCTCCCATAATTCTACCCTGTAATGCCATGAGACTAACAGGTCTGTAGTTTCCGGGGTCTTCTTTCTTGCCCTTCTTGATAACTGGTACAACATTTGCCAGCTTCCGGTCAACTGGGACCTCTCCCGATTCCCAAGAACACTGAAAAATAATTGAGAGAAGTCCCACAATGATGTCAGTCAGCTCTCTGAGCACCCTGAGATGAAACCCATCCAAATCCATGGACGTGTATGGATCTAAGTGAAGTAGCAAATCCCATACACAGTAAACAATGCAATCTGTATTGATCCATGGGGTACACCAAGAGTTCCTGGCATCCAACAGGACTTTATGCCATTGATCACCACTCTTCTGGGCCCAGCTGATCAGCTACATATGCTCAGGACTCACAAGACCCACAGGAGGCCTTCCAGCAAACCCTTGCTACCCAACCTTTTCCTTCAGGCACTAGCAGTCACATCTCTAGGTTGAGGACACATTCTTCCAGAACAATACCTCAATAAAGGAAACAATTCAATATATATATAATAAATAAAAAAGTACCCAGACAGACAGTGACCCAGGACAACAACATTGTTTTTATTGCCAGAATGGCACTTGGGCATTCATTCCATTTCACTTGTACAGACCAGGGTATACCAGCTTAAAAATGGTACAGTATACAATGCAGCACAACAGAACATGAGGGTGTTTATGTATCCAGTCTCAGAACACCTTCTTTCCAAAGAGAGATTGTTCTATGTTGGATGTCAGTCCTTCTTAAGGGGAATTCATAAGACAATGTTTAAATACACAGCCAAAGGAGAAAGGGAAAAAAAGGAAGATGCAAGCATTCTAACAAAAACCTGGAAAACCAGACCATGATAGCACTTCCCTTTCATTGAGGAACACCTTCAAGCAACAATGAAAACAATGACACAAAAAAAGGTTATTCCTTTTTAAAGTCTATCTTTCTTCTGCCTTGTAGACAAATGTCCTCTGAGGCAATGTATCAAGATGCCTTGCCATCCACCCAAACACAATGATCAGGGTCAAAGCTATGTATAAGTAGTGTCTATGTTGGAATCATTAGTCCTCCTATACTTCTGTGTCACTCCCAAGCACATGGACCACTGCAAAGTCTGGCTCGGCATGTATTTGCTGTGCCCTGGAGAAGATGAGATGGCAGAACCCAGTAAAACACATGGTTCATGCCAATTGAGGTGGAAGACCACACACTTCAAAACCACATGCTGCTGACATGACTCACACAGAGAGATCCAGGACTCAGCAAAGAAAGAGAGAAGCACTTGCACTGCAGTGATACACAGGGCTAACACCTTTCTTCCCTGCAAACAAGAGGTGAGGGCTATACTGCACTGTCACGTGCAGAACCTCAACATTGTGTTTGATCACAGACTAAGACAGGGTGATTGTCAAGCTTTCTCCTAATGACAAGCATTTAGGCAGAGAGACTGAATCAAACATTCCGCACAAAGCACCAATACCAGACCTGGAATATATCATTGCCTGAGAAAAAAGGCCTTAGTTCTCTCATATATATACTTAATTTCTAATCTTTTTTTGGGGGTGAAGAAAAACATACATCTAACATAGTATTAGAGGGTCACTTGTGAAGCCAATCACAAATGCAGATTTAATCTCCAGGAAACAAGACTGAATATCATTAGCCAGATCCCTTCCAGCTCCAAGGCATGAAGCCTTTCACTGTGTGGACTCAGGCCTAGTTAAAGGGAAGGCCATTAAAGTGTCCAACAGATGGTGTACCAGAGATGTCCAGGGCTGCATCCCCCATGGAGTTAGGGATGGGAGGGAAATCCTCTGTGTCAGCAACACCTCTGCCTGTGCCAGAGTGCTGTGGTGGCACGCTGGGGAGGATGGGCTTCAGGAACTTGAACTCGCTGTTGCCCGACCCCGTGGTGAGGTTGATCTCGTAGCAATAGGCGTGGGGTAGGGTCCCAGCAGTAGCCCCATCAGCCAGGCTACTCTGCATGTTGCCCGTGCCATACAGCATGTGCCCTCCTTTCAGCTCCTTTCTCTTGCACACCTTGCAAACAACAAAGGCTGCGACAGATGTGAGGAAGAGGAGGGAGACAAAGACCAGTGAAAAGATTAAATAGATTGTCAGGGAGCTGTCTTCATCCTGCACAGCAAGCTCCTGCTGTGGCAGGTGTTCCTGTGAGAGGCCGTTGAGCAAGAGTACGTTCAGTGCTGCAGTGGCCGACAGAGGTGGCCGCCCATTGTCACGCACCAGCACCTCGAGCTTCTGCTTCACGGCATCCCTCTCTGTCACTGGCCTCCTCAGACGCACCTCCCCATTTTGGCTTCCCACAGCAAACAGCCCGAGGTCTGTGGCCCTCAGCAGGTGGAAGGAAAGCCATGAGTTCTGACCAGAGTCCGCATCAACGGCCACCACTTTGGTGACCAGGTCCCCCACCTCAGCCGACGCTGGAACCAGCTCACTGGATGGCGGGCTGCTATCCTGAGCAGGGTGCAACACCAGTGGGGCATTGTCGTTCTCGTCCATGACAAGGAGGCGGACAGTGACGTTGGTGCTGAGGGGAGGGGACCCCGCATCGGTGGCACTCACCAGCACCTCAAGCTGCCTCACCTGCTCATAGTCCAGTGGACGCAGCACAAACACATGTCCGTTCTCTGAGTTCACGGAGATGCAGGAGCAGGGGTCCCGCTCTGCAGGATATACAGGCCTCAGGGAATAGATCACCTTGGCATTGAGTCCTGCGTCTGAGTCCACTGCACTGACAGCCCCAACAAGCACTCCAGGGATATTGTTCTCTCGCACATACATGGTGTACGATGTCTGGTTGAAAACAGGGGCATTGTCATTGACATCGGAGATGTCCACAGTGAAGGTCTGGGTAGTGGTGAGAGGAGGAGAACCTGCGTCTGCTGCTGTGATGACCACAAGGTACTGAGCTGTCTCCTCCCGATCCAATGTGCTCAAGGTCACCAGCTCAAAATAATTCTTATAGGCTGGCCTCAGGGAGAAGGAGAGCTGGTCTTCAAGGGCACAGCTGATCTCCCCATTCACACCAGAATCCCGGTCCCTCACAGCAAATACAGCTACCACTGTTCCAGGCTCTGTGTTCTCGGGGAGGGGGCTGCTGTAGGAACTAACCACCACCTCCGGTGCATTGTCGTTCACATCCACCACCTCCACCAACACCTTGCAAAGTGCTGAGAGGCCTCCACCATCAATTGCCCGCACACTGAGCTCATGTTTCTGTGTGGTCTCAAAGTCCAGGGGTTTTGTGACACGAATTTCACCACTCATACTATCAATTGTGAATGTGGACTGGCTGTCCTCAAGAACATTACTGAACCTATAGGAGATGTCACCATTCACTCCCATGTCTGGATCGGTGGCTACAACTCTGAGAACCACAGAGCCTGCTGGAGCATTTTCCAAATCCTGAGCAACATACACGTCCTGAGTAAAGGTGGGAGCATTGTCATTTACATCTAGAACTACGATGTGGATTTGGGTGGTCCCGCTCCTAGGTGGAGAGCCACCGTCTGTGGCAATGAGACTGAAAAGCAGGTCTGGCTGCTCCTCTCTGTCGAGAGGCTTTTCCAATACCAGTTCAACATGCATGTCAACCTCACTCCGTTTCCGAATAGAAACACTGAAGTACTCGTTCTCGGGAGCGATGGTGTAAGCCTGGATGCTGTTGCTGCCAACGTCCAGGTCCTGAGCCGCCTCCACGGGGAAACGCGAGCCAGGGTCTCCCCTTTCCGGGATCTGAAAAGTGACTCGTTCCTCGGGAAAGACCGGCGAGTGGTCGTTGACGTCCTCCACGGCCACCTCGACACGAAAGAACTGCAGCGGGTTTTCCAGCAGGAGCTCGAAGGCGAGCGTGCAGGTAAGCGAGCGGCCGCACATCTCCTCGCGATCGAGCCGCTCCGCCAGGACGAGGCGGCCGGTGGCGCGCTCTAAGCGAAAATGCTGCCGGCCGTCCGCGGAGGCAATGCGTGCCCGGCGAGCCGACAGCTGCGCCGGCGTCAGCCCCGCGTCCTCCGCCACGTTGGCCACCACGGAGCCGCTCTCCCCCTCCTCGGCTACGGAGTAGCGGATGGGCTCGCAGCGAACGCGCGGCACGCACAGCAAAGCACACAGACAAAGCACTTGCCTTGCAGACGCCATGGCGGGGCGGCGGACACCCTCCGTCTGCCGCAGTCCTCCGCGGGAAGCGGCGCCCGGCAGCAGCGCGGCGCCAAGGGCGGGCGCCCTCCCTCGCGGCCTCCCTCTCTCCCTCTCGCCGAGCTCGGCTGGCGGCCCGCAGCGCGGCACTCCGGGACCGGCAGCGGCTGCTGCGGAGGACGCCGCGGACGACCGCTCGCCGCCGCCTCCCGGCTGCGCTGCGCTGCGCTGCGCTGGGCTCGGCCGCCTCCCCGCTCGCAGCCGCTCGCCGCCGCCTTGGCCACGAGCACCACCCTGCGGCCTGCGGCGGGACTGCTCCGGGACGGGACGCGCTCCTGGCCGCCGACTCGCAGCCTTGCACAAACGCCGGCGTGCTCAGAGCTTGCCTGCAAACTATACGGCTACAAGGACTCTCTCAACAGCAGCAGGCTGTTTATGGCTGGAATAGCGCTCGGGTGTTCTTCCCATGTCACCTTTACAGGAAAGCGTGTCCTGCGTGGCCGTGATTCAGCATATGACTGCAGTGAAAGCTGCGTGAGCTTTTCCAAATGTTCACTGCCATACCACCAATGTTCTAGCAACCTGTTTCTCTTGCTAAGGTATAAGTCCTTCTTCAGGGGAATAGGTAATACAATGCTCCAACACAGCTCTTACAGGAAATGAGAAATGGAAAAAGGAGACTGAAGGCTTTCTAAAACCATGGAACTAAACCCATGAAAAATCATGTCATGACTGCACCCTAGTCTCATGGAATATCTACAGGAAGTGGGAAGAAAAATGATGGAATAAAATTGGCAGACCGTATTTAAGTTTGTCTAGGGACAGAGTCGTTGTTCATTTACCTTAGAATCCAGGCAAACAGAAGTTCAGAGTGCTTTATAGTTACCATCGTTCCCAGTATCATGAGTGCTTCTAGAGCTTTGAGGAAATCTCCAGGAGACAGCCAACCCACCTTTTCTAAACCACAGTTATATCTAATTGTGCACTTTTTTTTTCTGTCCTCTGGAGGTGATAGCACTCTGTCTAAGCATCTCTCTTGCTGGCCAAACTGGAGAAGCACACATCACAAATGTGTACACGGCCCACGCATCTCAGACACAGAGATCCAGGAACCAGTCAAGAAAGAGAGCAGCACTTGTGCTGCATGGAAACACAGTACTCACACCATCCTTTCCCTGCTGACGTGGGGACATGGCTAAAGTGCATTACATGAGCGTGACTTGCTTTACTTTTAAGGAAGGATTGCCAAGTGGCATTGGCGTGAGTATCATCTTTTTCTACCCAATCTCACCCTTGTGTTACATTCCAGGAAAGACAGGATGACGTCCACAATGCTCCCTAACAAGAAGGACAATGAATTTAAGGAGCCAAAGAATTTAACGAAACAAAGAATTTAAGGAGTCAATTGAAGAGCCAAATTCTACTCACATGAGAAAAGCCACTGCCTGAGCTAAAATGTCAGTGTGTGAAGGATGGAGAAATTAGTTTCTTTCAATTTATATATTGTTATAATTATTTTAGAGTTGTGGAGGAAAACGTATATCTGACTTATTTTTAGAGGGTTATTTGCAAGGCCAGTTTCAAGTGCAGGTTTAGTCTCCAGGAAACAAGGTAACGGTTGTGACCTAGATCCCTTCCAGGTCTAAAACACTAGACAGGGTCTGGCCTCACCAGTGGTGAACAGATGGGAAGTATGCCTTCCCTTGGACTGCTCGAGATATTCCCTTGACCTGTTCAAGAGATTCTGCTGATTCAACCATCATTAGGCTGCTTTATGGCAAGGGCATGCTGCTGGCACATGTTCAATGTGGTATCCACTGGGACCCCCAGAGCCTTTTCCACCAGCCTGCTTTCCTGGAACATGGCATTGATCCTCTCCAAGTGAAGGACTTTGCACCTCTACTTGTGGAACTCCATGAGGGTCCTATCAGCCAATTTCTCCTGGTTCTTCCTGTCCTTTTGATGACAGCAACACCATCTGCTGTAGCCCATTGTTCTCTAATCCACCCCCACTCCCATTTTACAATACCTGCTGTCTTACAGGGGGTACACTCTGTCCCATCACTGAGAATATTTATAAGGTCATTCATCACAGAATAAAAGGAACATCCCAAGTGGGAAGAAACCCATACAGACCATCGAGTCGAACTGCTGGCTCCACACAAGTCTAAAAAACAGTCAGAGCATGTGACTAAGAGCACAGCCCAAATATTGCTTAAACTCCTACTGGTTTGGTGGCATCACTACATCCCTGGGGAGCCTGTTCCAGTGCACAGCAACCCTCTCTGAAGCACCTCTTCCTGATTTTCAGCCTGAACCTCCCCTGCCACAGCTTGACACCATTCCGTTGAGTCCTATCACTGGTCACTATGAAAAAAGATCAGCACCCGCCCCTTCACTTCCCCTTGTAAGGAAGCTGTAGACCACAATGAGATGTCCCCTAAGCCTCCACTGATCCAGGCTGAACAGGCCAAGTGACCTCAACCGCTCCTTGTACCTTTTCCCATTAAGGCACTTCACCATGATGGTAGCCCTCCTCTGGACACTCTCCAAAAGCTTCACAGGCTTTTTGGAATGTGGTGCCCAGAACTGCACACAGTACTCAAGGTGAGGCTGCACATACACAGAGTAGTACGGGACAATCACTTCCCTTGACCGACTAGCAATGCCATGCTTGACGCATCCCAGGATATGGTTGACCCTCCTGGATGCCAGGGCACACTGCTGACTCATATTCAGCTTGCTATCAACCAAAACCCCAGATCCCAATGCTCTCCAGTGTCTCATCACCCAGTCTGTACGCATAGACAGAGTTGCCCCTTCCCAGGTGCAGCATCCAGCACTTGCTCTTGTTAAAATTCATGTGGCTGGTCATTGCCCAGCTCTCCAGTCTCTCCAGATCTCTCTGCAAGGCCTTTCCACACTCAGTGGAGTCAACAACTCCTCCCAGTTTAGTATCATCAGCAAATTTGCTCAAAATACCTTCTAGTCCTACGTCCAAATCATTTATAAAATCATTGAAGAGAACTGGCTTTAAAACGAAGCCTTCAGGGACCCCACTGGTGACCGGCCGCTGGCCTGATGCATCCCCATTTACCGTAAACCTTCAAGAACAGCCCATGAGATAATTATTCACCCATTGTATGATGTTTTTGTCTAGCCATATGCTGGACATTTTGCTCAGTAGGATCCTAAGGGAAACTGTGTCAAAAGCTTTACTGAAATCCAAAAAGATTACAGCAGCTGGTTTCCCTTCATCAACTACATGGGTGATCTTATAATAAAAGGAAATTAAATTTGTTAAACAGAACCTACCTCTAATGATGCCATCTTGGCTGAGACCAATGACTGTGTTGTCCCCCACGTGTGATTCAATAACTCCCAGAATAATCTCCATAATTCTACCCTGCGCTGCCATGACACTAACAGGCCTGTAGTTTCCAGGGTCTTCTTTCTTGCCCTTCTTGAAAACTGGTACAACATTTGCCAGCTTCCAGTCAACTGGAACCTCTCCAGATTCCCAAGAACATTGAAAAATCATTGAGAGAAGTCCCATGGGGACGTCAATCAGCTCTCTGAGCACCTTGAGAATGAATCCCATCTAAACCCATGGACTTGTTTGGATCCAGGTGGAGCAGCAAATCCCACACATGTTGAACAATGTAATCAGTGGTGATCAATACGGGGCACCAAGAGTTCCTGGCATCCATCATAAATCTGTGCCACTGATCACTACCCTTCTGGGCCCAGGTGCTCGGCCACTTCTTATGCTCAGTGCTCACAAGGCCCACAAGAGACCTGCCACGACATCCTAGATAACCACACTTTTCCTTCAGGCACTAGCAGTCACATCTCCAGGTTGAGGACACATGCCACCAAACCAATACTTTAATCAAGGAACCAAGTAAAAATAAATAAATACATACATACATAAAAGCACCCAGACTTTGGAAAAAGCCTTGATCCCTTACAGAGCTTTCCTGGAAAGAACATTACTGCAAAGACTCTCTCCACAACAGCACCCTTTTTATTGCCAGAATGGCACTCAGGCATTTATTTCATTTCACTATTACAGACAAGGGTATGCTGGGTTAAAAAGGATACAGTTTAAACATCAGTTCAACTATACAGGTGTTTAAGTATCCAGTCCCATAACAGTTTCTTTCCAATGACCCATTGTTATAGGTTGGGTGTCAGTCCTTATTAAAGGGAATTGGTAAGACAAAGTTTAAATATACAGCCAAAGGAGAAAGGGAAAAAAGGAAAATGTAAGCATTCTAACAAATATCTGGAAAACCAGACCATGACAGCACTTCCCTTTCATTGAGGAACCCTGGCAGGCAGCAATGAATGCAATGACACCAAGCTGAATTCTACCTTTAAAGTCATTCTTGGTTCCATCTGTAGACAAAAGGTCTTCCGAGGTGATGTGTCAACTTGTCTTTCATGACGGAATCATTAGTGCACCTTTAATTTTGGGTCAATCCAAAGCAGATGAACCACTGCAAGGCCTGGCTTTGCACATTTTTGCTGTGCCGTGGTTAAGATGAGATGGAAGAACTCAATACATAATATACTTCTTGGCAAAAAAGGTGGAAGAAAATGCAGTGCAAAAACACATGGTGCTCACATGTCTCACACAGAGAGATCCAGGAATCAGCAAAGAATAAGAGTAGCACTTGCTCTGCAGTGAAACACAGAGCTACCTCCTTTCTTACATTGCAGACAAGGGAGAGGGGCTATACTGCACTGTCATCTGCCCAACCTCAACATTATGTTACAGCACAGAATAAGACAGGGTGATTCTCAAGGCTTTTCCTAATGACAAGCATTTAGCCAGAGAACCAGAATCAAACCTTGCTCATGAAGCACTTTGGAGAACTCAGTATCAGAGCTGAAACACATCATTGCATGAAAAGAAAGACCTTAGTTGTCTAACAATTTTTTATTTCTGATTTTTTGGAGGGTTGAAGAAAAATGTACATCAGACAGTGTTAGAGGGTCACTTGTGAAGCCAATCACAAATGCAGATTTAATCTCCAGGAAACAAGACTGAATATCATTAGCCAGATCCCTTCCAGCTCCAACGCATTAAGCTTTCCACTGCGTGGACTCAGACCTAGTTAAAGGGAAGGCCATTAAAGTGTCCAACAGATGGTGTACCAGAGATGTCCAGGGCTACATCCCCCATGGAGTTCGGGATGGGAGGGAAATCCTCTGTGTCAGCAACACCCCTGCCTGTGTCTGAGTGCTGTGGTGGCAGGCTGGGGAGGATGGGCTTCAGGAACTTGAACTCGCTGTTGCCCGACCCCGTGGTGAGGTTGATCTCGTAGCAATAGGCGTGGGGAAGGGTCCCAGCAGCAGCCCCATCAGCCAGACTGCTCTGAAAGTTGCCCGTGCCATACAGCATGTGCCCTCCTTTCAGCTCCTTTCTCTTGAACACCTTGCAAGCAACAAAGGCTGCGACAGATGTGAGGAAGAGGAGGGAGACAAAGACCAGTGAAACGATTAAATAGATTGTCAGGGAGCTGTCTTCATCCTGCACAGCAAGCTCCTGCTGTGGCAGGTGTTCCTGTGAGAGGCCGTTGAGCAAGAGTACGTTCAGTGCTGCAGTGGCTGACAGAGGTGGCCGCCCATTGTCACGCACCAGCACCTCGAGCTTCTGCTTCACAGCATCCCTCTCTGTCACTGGCCTCCTCAGACGCACCTCCCCATTTTGGCTACCCACAGCAAACAGCCCGGGGTCTGTAGCCCTCAGCAGGTGGAAGGAAAGCCACGAGTTCTGACCAGAGTCCGCATCAACAGCCACCACTTTGGTGACCAGATCCCCCACCTCAGCTGACGCTGGCACCAGCTCACTGGATGGCGGGCTGCTGTCCTGTGCGGGATGCAACACCAGTGGGGCATTGTCGTTCTCATCCACCACGAGGAGGCGGACGGTGACGTTGGTGCTGAGGGGAGGGGACCCCGCATCGGTGGCACTCACCAGCACCTCAAGCTGCCTCACCTGCTCATAGTCCAGTGGACGCAGCACAAACACATGTCCGTTCTCTGAGTTCACGGAGATGCAGGAGCAGGGGTCCTGCTCAGTGGGGTGCACAGGCCTCAGGGAATAGATCACCTTGGCATTGAGTCCTGCATCTGAGTCCACTGCATTGACAGCCCCAACAAGCACTCCAGGGATATTGTTCTCTCGCACATACATGGTGTATGATGTCTGGTTGAAGACAGGGGCATTGTCATTGACATCAGAGACGTCCACCGTGAAGGTTTGGGTGCTGGTGAGAGGAGGAGAACCTGCGTCTGCCGCTGTGATGACCACAAGATACTGAGCTGTCTCTTCCCGGTCCAATGTGGTCACTGTCACTAACTCATAGTAATTCTTATAGGCTGGCCTTAGGGAGAAGAAGACCTGGTCTTCAAGGGCACAGCTGATCTCCCCATTCACACCAGAATCCCGGTCCCTCACTGCAAATACAGCTACCACTGTCCCAGGCTCCGGGTTCTCGGGGAGGGGGCTGCTGAAGGAACTCACCACCACCTCTGGTGCATTGTCGTTCACATCCACCACCTCCACGACTACATTGCACATGGCCGATATGCCCCCACCATCAGTTGCCAGCACACTGAACTCATATTTCTGTGTGATCTCAAAATCCAGGGCATTTGTGACACGAATTTCACCACTCATGTTATCAATTTTGAAAGGCAATTGGCTGTCACTGACTGCTTGGCTGAACCTGTAGGTGATGTCACCATTCAGTCCCACGTCTGGATCGGTGGCTACAACTCTGAGAACCACACAGCCTGCTAGGGCACTTTCCAAAACCTGACCAACATAAACGTCCTGAGTAAAGGAGGGAGCATTGTCATTTACATCTAGAACTACGATGTGGATTTGGGTGGTCCCGCTCCTAGGTGGAGAGCCACCGTCTGTAGCAATGAGACTGAAAAGCAGCTCTGGCTGCTCCTCTCTGTCGAGAGGCTTCTCCAATACCAATTCTACATTTTTTTTTCTCGGATGCTTAAAAGAAACACTGAAGTACTCGTTCTCCGGAGCAATAGTGTAAGCCTGGATGCTGTTGCTGCCAACGTCCAGGTCCTGAGCCGCCTCCACGGGGAAACGCGAGCCAGGGTCTCCCCTTTCCGGGATCTGAAAAGTGACTCGTTCCTCGGGAAAGACCGGCGAGTGGTCGTTGACGTCCTCCACGGCCACCTCGACACGAAAGAACTGCAGCGGGTTTTCCAGCAGGAGCTCGAAGGCGAGCGTGCAGGTAAGCGAGCGGCCGCACATCTCCTCGCGATCGAGCCGCTCCGCCAGGACGAGGCGGCCGGTGGCGCGCTCTAAGCGAAAATGCTGCCGGCCGTCCGCGGAGGCAATGCGTGCCCGGCGAGCCGACAGCTGCGCCGGCGTCAGCCCCGCGTCCTCCGCCACGTTGGCCACCACGGAGCCGCTCTCCCCCTCCTCGGCTACGGAGTAGCGGATGGGCTCGCAGCGAACGCGCGGCACGCACAGCAAAGCACACAGACAAAGCACTTGCCTTGCAGACGCCATGGCGGGGCGGCGGACACCCTCCGTCTGCCGCAGTCCTCCGCGGGAAGCGGCGCCCGGCAGCAGCGCGGCGCCAAGGGCGGGCGCCCTCCCTCGCGGCCTCCCTCTCTCCCTCTCGCCGAGCTCGGCTGGCGGCCCGCAGCGCGGCACTCCGGGACCGGCAGCGGCTGCTGCGGAGGACGCCGCGGACGACCGCTCGCCGCCGCCTCCCGGCTGCGCTGCGCTGCGCTGGGCTCGGCCGCCTCCCCGCTCGCAGCCGCTCGCCGCCGCCTTGGCCACGAGCACCACCCTGCGGCCTGCGGCGGGACTGCTCCGGGACGGGACGCGCTCCTGGCCGCCGACTCGCAGCCTTTCACAAAAGTCCGGCAGTTTCTTGCCGGTCAATCTGAGTCCAGGCAAACTGAAGTTCAGACTGCTTTACAGTTACCATCATTCCCAGTATCATGAGTACTTCTAGAGCTTTGAGGTAATCTCCAGAACACAGCCAACCCACCTTTTCTATCTCAGGTTGTGCACGTTTTTTCTGTCCTCTGGAGGTGATAGTACTCTGTCTAAGCATCTTTCTTGCTGGCCAAACTGGAGAAGCACACATCACAAATGCACACACGGCCCATGCATCTCAGACACAGAGATCCAGGAACCAGCCAAGAAAGAGAGCAGCACTTGTGCTGCATTGAAACACAGGACTCACACCATCCTTTCCCTGCTGACGTGGGGACATGGCTAAAGTGCATTACATGAGCGTGACTTGCTTTGCTTTTAAGGAAGGATGGCCAAGTGGCATTACCATGAGAATAACTGTTGCCCAATCTCACATTCGTGTTACATCCCAGAAAAAGGACAGGATGAGGACCACTTGCTCCCTAACAAGCAGGACAAAGAATTTAAGGAACGAAACTGTTTAGCAAGACAACTTAACGAGCCAATATACAGAGCCAAACTCTACTTGTGAAGCATTTCAGAAAAGCTACTCCCGAGATGGAACATATTTCCTGAAGGGAGGAAACTTTAATTTCTTTCATTTAATTTAATTTATTTTTCTCTTGGAGGGTGAAGAAAATCATTCATCTGACTTCTTAGAGGGTCATTTGCTAGGACAATTACAAGTGCTGTTTTAATCTCCAGGAAACAAGGGTAAGTGTCATGAGCTAGATCCCTTTAATCTCTGAAACACTAGGCAGGGTCTTGCCTCATCAGTGGTGATCAGATGGGAAGGACGATTTTCCCTAACCTGTTTGAGATACTCCACTGATGCAACGTGAGATATCATTAGCCTTCTTTATGACAAGGGCATGATGCTGCCTCAGGTTCATCTTGGTGTCCATCGGGACCCCTGGGCCTTTTCCACCAGGCAGCTTTCATGGAACAAGGGATTCTTTCTCCCCAAGTGAAAGACTTTTCACCTCTCCTTGTGGACTGCTCCTGGTCGGGACGTGGTCCTGGCCGCTGCCTCTTGCAGCCACGCTCCATCGGGCACATATGCACATGTCCCACTGCCCTCCGCACACACTCAAAAGCAAAGGCAAAGCCTGCAGCGGGCGAAAACGCCGAGCTTGACGCAAACGCACCGGTAGCGCCCGCAGCTCCGCAGCCTCTCCGCCCTCTACAATTTGCGAGAGCCCGCCATGATGCCAACCTCGGCACCCTGCCACAAACCCAACCGTAACACAACGACAAACACAATTCCGAGGGCCAAGGAGAAGGAGAAGGACAAGGACAAACACAAAGCCCGAGGACTAGGAGAAGGCCTTTCAACACTGCACAGCGAGGCGGAGGCTTTGTCCGGAGGCACCTGTCCGCCTTCTCTGCTCTGAGAAACCAGGAAGGGGCCTCCGCGTGGATCTCCCTGTCAGGTATTGTGCACGCAGAAAAACAGCACATCACTACATCTACTCGAGATCGCATGGTGGGGACGAGACATGGGAAATGCTCCCAGACAGGTGCAAGCACAAAGGCACCTCCTGCTCTACCGTGCAGGCATGCGCGCTGCAACCGCCCGGGCTTGAGGAGAGCAGGCAGGCAGTTAGAGCGACGGAAGGGCTGCTGTCCCCTGCTCAGGTCTCTTCTGGCCAGCGCGCTGCGGGCTGCACTCAAGCATATTGCCCTTGCCAGCCTCCGCGCAGCCTGGTGGACTCTGAGGACTCGGCAGGACGGGCCTCAGGAACTTGAAGTCACTCTGTCCCGAGTCGTTGGTCAAATACATCTCGTAGTGGTAGCCCGGCCACAGATCTCCCCTGCCGGCCATGTCCCTGGCGTCGGCAGTCAAGTCGCTGTCAGCAGAGCTGCGAGCAGAGGAGTTCGGGAGCGCCGGGCAGAGGCGACCCTTGCACAGCGTGGTCCCCGAAAAGGCTGCGATGACTACAAGGAGGAGTGAGGAGATGCAGCAGAGGGAGGCGATGAGGTAGGTAGTGAGAAGGTCGTGGTCGCCCTCTTCCTGCTGCGGGCTTCCCGCATGCGCCTGCGAAAGCTGCAGGAAGGCTTCAGAGAAGCCGTCCACCAGGGTGATGGTGAGGGTGGCAGTGGAGGAGCGCGGTGGCTGCCCGCGGTCTCGCACCAGCACGACCAGCCTGTGCCTGGGCGCGTCGCGCTCGGTCACGGCCCGCGCCGTGCGCACCTCGCCGTTGTGCAGCCCCACGCGGAACAGCCCCGGCTCCGTCGCCTTGGCCAGCTCGTAGGACAGCCACGCGTTCTGCCCCGCGTCCGCGTCCACCGCCACCACCTTGGCCACCAGGTAACCTGCCTGCGCCCAGCGCGGCACCAACTCGCCCGCTGCCGCGCTGCCGTCGGGAGGTGGGTGCAGCACGACGGGCGCGTTGTCGTTCTCGTCCTGCACCAGCACCCGCAGCAGCGCCTCGGCGCTGAGCGCCGGCGAGCCCCCGTCAGCGGCGCGCACGGTCACCTCGAAGGCGTGCACCTCTTCGTAGTCCACTGGATGCAGAGCCCGCACTATGCCGCTCTCGGCCTCTACCGACAAGAAGGACCGCGCAGCGGAGACCTCCAGTGGAGTCAGCACCAGCATGTAGCTCACAAGGGCGTTTTCACCCGCGTCGGCGTCTGTGGCATTAAGGCGGCCCAGGATCGTCCCAGCGGGCTTGTTTTCACGTAGCACCATGTTGTAAATGGCCTGGGAGAAGGTGGGCGCGTTATCGTTCACGTCCGAGAGCAGCACCACCAGCGTCTTCGATGTTGAGAGTGCAGGAGTACCCGCGTCACTGGCCCGCACCGTCACGTTGTACCCCGACACCTTCTCTCGGTCCAACGCCTCCAATGTCACTAGCGCGTACGCTTCACCCACCAGCGGCAAAATGCTGAAGGGCTGCTCGCCCAGCAGCTCGCAGCTCGTCCTGCCGTTGTCCCCTGAGTCCCGGTCCCGCACGCTGAAGAGGGCCACCACCGTGTTCAGCTGGGCTGCTTCGGAGAGGCTGCTGGTGAGGGAGGTGATTGTTACCTCGGGGGCGTTGTCGTTCACGTCCTGCACCCCCACCTCCACCTTGCAGTTCGCAGACAGGCCTCCTCCATCCGTGGCCTGAACGTCTATCTCGTAGGTCTTTATTTCTTCATAATCCAGTGGTTTTTTGAGTCGAATCTGCCCTGTCTCTGAATTTATTTTAAATGTCTCTCGATTATCCTCTGAATTTTGAACTATGGAATAGGCTATTTCCCCGTTCATTCCTGAGTCTAAATCTTTAGCAGACACGACTGCCACCAAGGTATCCTCGGAGCTATTTTCTAATACTCGGACCTTATACAGACTCTGCGTAAATACTGGAATGTTGTCATTTGCATCCAGGACTACCACGCGGATAACGGCTGTACCAGAGCGCGGTGGAAACCCACCATCCACAGCCGTGATGCTAAAAACCACTTCTGCCTGCTTTTCCCGGTCTAGCTCTCTGTCCAACACCAGCTCAGCGTGCCTCCTGCCGTCACTACGCTGCCGAGTGTAGATATGGAAATAACCGTTCGAGCTGATGTTGTAATGGTGAACACTGTTGTTCCCCACATCTGGATCCTGAGCGCTTTCCAGTAAAAAACGAGCTTTCGGCTTTGTAGTTTCCGAGATCTTTAAAATTATCTCTTTATTTAAGAACACGGGAGCATGATCATTAATGTCTGTGAGGCTTACCTCGGCGCGGAAGGACTGCAGTGGACCCTCCAACAATACATCGAAACGTACCAGGCAGGGCTCGCTCTGCCCGCACAGCTCCTCCCGATCCATCTGTTCTCGCACAAACAAATCCCCGGTGTGCTGATCCAGTTGAAAATACTGTTTTTCTCCTTCAGGAACGATTCGAACCTGTCGAGTCGACAATTCCTCAGCGGTCAGTCCCAAATCCTTAACTATATTTCCCACAAGGGAGCCCCTCGCCGCCTCTTCGGGCACAGAGTACCGGGCGGTTTCTGCTCTCCCCCCCGACACGCAGAGAAGCAGTATTACAAACAACGCTCGCCCTGGAAGCGGTTCCTCCCTCTTTCTCAGCTCCATTTCCCTCTCGGCTAACCTTCCTTCCCCCTCCGTGAGCAGAATGGAGGTGTTGGTCTATCCCGCTGACCCCCGAGCAGAGCAGCCCCGGCTGGTCGAGCCCAAGGGTCGTGGAGCCGGGAGCTACGCAGAGCCTCTGCGGTCAGCAGCGGCACCAGGCGGCCGGCGTGCGAAAGTACACGGAGATCTCTGCAAAACCGCAAAAACAAGAGACAAACTGCTCGGTTTCTTGCTCTGAAACTATCTTTAACTCCCAGTACTATTCTGTTAAAAGTTCGAATAAGCAATGCTTCTTTTTGCCTTTTATCTGAAAATGAGATCTATCTGAGGCTGCTTTTTCCTAGTGTCCTTCCCTAAAATGGCTCCGATTTTTTGTGCATACTGAATAAGTGATTTTCAGGCCCTTTAGCTAAAAAGCTGTGTACAGCATCCAGAATGAGCCGGTCCATTAACCTTGCCAGTGATGGCTAGGTGGTTCCCTTTATTAGTTTTTGGACTGTTTTCTCGAATGGATTGAAATTGTTCCCGATTCACAACCTGTCAGGCCAGAAGCCCTTGCAAAGGGGCTCGGGCAGCATCTCTCTTTTCTCACCGATCTTAGCACGACTCAGACAAACCCACCCCACCCTGCTCTGGCAGAAGAACACCCTCTTCCCAAGATGTTCTGATTTGCCTTGTAAAATACCCACTTCTAATGCATGGATTTATTCTCAAAATACAACTCTTGGGGTGGGTATTACCTAGGCGATTACTGTGACAAGTGGTCTTTGAGATAGCACACTCACACGAGGGATTTACAGGTACCTTTTATTGTTTATTTTGTCATCAGGAGTTTTACTCTTTTAAACGTGTGAGTGACAGGAAATACTACCTTACTTTATATTTTAATACCGATTAATGAAAGTAAAGGAAAACGGAATGCTCCTTGACTTTCTATATTCTAGAGTGCCTTCAGATTATTGTTAACGTTTTACTGTTAAAACACAAACAGTATTTTTAATTCTCTACTACCTTATATTCGATAATCCTGAAACGTTCTTTAACTGTTGATTTCGGCTTTATTATGAAAGAAAACGAAACAAATTTAGAAAGGGAATACAGTGCTCAAAGACCACTCTACTTCATGGACAACGTGTAAACTCATGATCGATTACAGTGTGCCAATGTCAGCCACTTCGAAAGTAATTTCCTTATGTTTGTTATTAAAAATTCCCTTGCAAGCCTCATTTAATTTAATAGCTGTATGACCTGGCATTCAACAAGTAGCAGAAAACCAAAACGTTATGAAGGAGCCCTCTTCACAATAACAAATAATACAGAAAAGCTGATGTAGGAAAAGCATATCTTGAACATGTTTCTGTTTTCATGTTTCCCTTAACATTCAGGAGAAATAGCACTCTCTCACAAGCATACATCAAGTCTCAGTGTAATCAGCATGCAACATAGTCCTCCTCCATCCTTATCACAATTTCAAAATACCTATATGAACAAAATACTGTTTAAGATGAGAGTCCTTGCTGTCTCACAGAGGACTTGTACCTCACTGGTACTTTTTTGGTGCATGTTCCGTCTCTCTGCTCTCCTTTCCCTGTGAGGACGTTAGCCAGTGAGGACCAAGATGTTTGTCTTTCTCCTCACTTACTGATGGGTGAGCCAAGGATTTTGATCAGAACTGGCATTTTCCTCTGCTGGCCTGGGACCCGTGCCTTCAGAGAGGGGAACTCGACCCTGCGAAGAGCAGAATGGAGTGTTGATATTTGGACGTCGAGGGTAAGCAGCTGTCAGCGAGACGCTTAGAGGGCTTGTCTTAAACCAGTGCGTGAGTCAAAGAGGGAGGAAGGATGGGAGTCAGGTCTCTGACCTGAACGAGGTAAAATAAAAGCCCTAAAGCGTCCTCCTATATGGACAACAAAAAGTCACCACTGGAAAGTTTTTATTAATTTGGGGGGGGGGGGGGGGGGGGGAGGGGAATGGGGGAGGCAGAAGAGGATTTAAAACAGGAAGAGCTCCAAACCTGTTTCTCGCAAACAGAAAACGTGATTTAATGTTGATATTTCGTGGTGGGTCTTTGTGTCCTCTTAATGCCACTGCCATGGCAGTTCTGAGAACCTGTGGTAATGTGAGGCCAAGTCATCAGTGGTTATTAAATTTGAAGACGTTACGGAGTGACCATAAAAAGGTGGTTGTGGGTCTCCTTTCTCATATATGTCCATTTTGCAGACTCACGTGAAGTTTTAGATGGGCATCAGACACAAATAACCCCACCTTTAGAGGCAACTTGGACTCAATGTGAGAATGAGGAGAGGAGGAGCTGTTTCGATAATCATTATTGGTCTCCCCCATATTGTTTGAACAGACGGACGTTAAACGCCTTAGATAAGACTCATTATAAGTTCACAGCACCGTGAAGTGAGATACTGGTACAGTCGGAGAGCACCCGGCTGGGCCAGGAAGGGACAAAGAGGTTGCCTTGTAAAGCCCCGATCTCCATATTTTGGTGGGCAATTTTTTTTTTTTTTGATGGCCAATAATTGTTTTGGTGGCTTTTGTTAACAAAGGCCACAAAAATATACCGGATTTTCATGATATATAGCTCCGTGGACCACGGCAGATTGTGAGACAGCTTGGCTTCAGCACCACTATCCCAGTAAGCGGCAGCTGCCAGCGCCGTGCACCAGCTCTTGATAACAGTGCAGGGGGCGCCATCAGAAGCGTAACACCCCGACCCACCTCTGCCCCCGTAGACCCTGTTGCTACCAATGAACACGGACACCACGACACCAGAGATAGTGTCTCCGGGAGTGGTGTCGTTCCTGCACCCGGCCCCTACGGACTCTACACAAGACGTGGGCAGGACCCACTGTGTGGCTCCCGCATCCATCCTCCTGGTTCACATCTTCTCATGGTCCAGCTGCCCCCCCACCCCCGCCTTTGGGATGACACCACAGACTTAATCTCACACAAATGACCAGGGCATGAAGCCGAATGCAGAGCCGCGGTTAGACCGCACTTGGGGAACAGCCGAGCGCGCGGCGGCGGCTCTGACACTACCACCACCCACTCCTATCTTCCCGGAGACTCTTTCAGGACCAGCTCCGCCACTTTGCTGCTCCCTACTGCCCCACTTCTACATTCAGGGATGATTCCCGACCCCTCTGCTCCCTCCCCGCCCTCCCCCCCCCCCCACCCGTCACCTCGGCCCGCGCAGGTCCCTCACCTGTGCAGCCCAGTCGGCTTCTTCCCCGAGGTTGGCCGAGCACACCGAGCTCCGCTGGTCGCCCGGGCCGTGGGGCAGCCCATCTGGGAAGCAGGGGAAGAGGGGCCTAAGGAAGCGGAACTCGCTGTTGACAGTCCCGGCGGCGAAGCAGACATCGTATACATAGCTACGGGGCAAGGAGCCAGCGCTGCTCTCAGCGGCAGATTTCGGGAAAGTGGGCAAGGGCCCCGCCATGCTCTGCCTGGCCCGCCGCAACCTCACAACCACGGCGGCCGCTGCAGTGGCCAGGAACAGCGCGGACACGCAGGACAAGCAGATGATGAGGTACAGGGTGAGCCTCCCGTCGGGATCGGTGGCCGGCGCCTCTTCGCTCACACGCAAGTGGGCTTCAGAGAAGCCGTCCACCAGGGTGATGGTGAGGGTGGCAGTGGAGGAGCGCGGTGGCTGCCCGCGGTCTCGCACCAGCACGACCAGCCTGTGCCTGGGCGCGTCGCGCTCGGTCACGGCCCGCGCCGTGCGCACCTCACCGCTGTGCAGCCCCACGCGGAACAGCCCCGGCTCCGTCGCCTTGGCCAGCTCGTAGGACAGCCACGCGTTCTGTCCCGCGTCCGCGTCCACCGCCACCACCTTGGCCACCAGGTAACCTGCCTGCGCCCAGCGTGGCACCAACTCGCCCGCTGCCGCGCTGCCGTCGGGAGGTGGGTGCAGCACGACGGGCGCGTTGTCGTTCTCGTCCCGCACCAGGACCCGCAGCAGCGCCTCGGCGCTGAGCGCCGGCGAGCCCCCGTCGGCGGCGCGCACGGTCACCTCGATGGCGCGCACCTCTTCGTAGTCTAGTGGGCGGAGGATGTAAACGTCCCCATTTTCAGAGTTGATCGACACGTCGGGCTGCTCTTTGTCGTCTCGCACCAGAGCGTAGCTCACACGGGAGTTTTTACCCGCATCGGCGTCCGTGGCATTTACGTTGCCGATCCGGAGCATGGGGTTGTTGTTCTCGTTCACTGATAAGGTGTAAACGTCCTGTGTGAACTCCGGGGGATTGTCGTTCACATCGGATATCTGCACGAAGATGCTTTCCCGAGAACTCAGCCGAGATCTGCCCCAGTCCGTGGCTATGATGGTGATGTTGTACTCCGCCGTCCTTTCCCTGTCCAGGGCCGCGTTTGTGCGCAGCTCGTAGTAATTGTCGAAAGTGGGGGTGAGATTGAAGGGCAAATCGCCGTCGATCGCGCACTCCGTCCTGCCGTTGTCCCCCGAGTCTCGGTCCCGCACACTGATCAGGGCCACCACGCTCCGGGGCGGGGCGTCCTCGGGAATGGAGACAGTGAGGGAAGTGAGCGCTATCTCCGGGGCATTGTCGTTCACGTCCAGCACCTCCACATGCACTTTGCAATGTCCAGACAACCCCCCGCCGTCGGTGGCTTTGACCACCATCTCGTGGTTTGCTACTTCCTCAAAGTCCAGGTTGCCCGAGACCCGGATCTCTCCGGTGGCAGCGTTCAGCTCGAAGAGCTGGCGGGACCGCTCCGATGTCTGGGTGAAGGTATACCGTACTCTGCCGTAGGACCCTTCGTCGGGATCCGCGGCCGTGACCCTGACAACCAGCTGCTCTGGCGGGCTGTTTTCGGCCACGCGGACCTCGTAGACTTCCCGTGAGAAGACCGGGATGTTGTCGTTGGCATCCAGCACCATGATCCGGACCTGAGCCGTGCCCGACTTGGGTGGCGTGCCCCCGTCGGTGGCGGTCAGGAGTAAATTCACCTCCCGCTGATGTTCGCGGTCCAGTTGACTCTGTAGGATGAGTTCAGGGTATTTCGCTCCACCTTTCCCTGTTCCAAGAGCCAGGGAAAAATGCGAATTGGACCCGAGGCTGTAGTTCTGCAAGCCATTGCTCCCCACGTCCTTATCGCGTGCTCTTTCTAGGGGGAAACGAGACCCAGGGGATGCCGTTTCCAGAATCTCTAAAACCATTTCCTTCTCCGGGAACATGGGGGAGTTGTCGTTCACGTCACGAACCTCCACCTCCCCTCGGATCAGCTGCACCGGATTTTCAAAGAATATCTTAAAGAAGAGTGTGCAGATATCGTTCTGCGGACAGATCGCCTCTCGGTCCAGCGTCTCCTTTACCGTCAGGACTCCGGTGTTTAGATTGAGGCGGAAATACTGCTCGTTCCCCTCAGACACAACGCGGGCCTTGCGAGACACGAGCTGGCTCGGAGAAACACCCAGGTCCTTTGCGATATTGCCGACAAAGGAGTCCCTCTCCGTTTCCTCCACTAGAGAATAGCGGAGGGTTTCGGCCCCGCTCTGACACACGCAAATGCACAGAACAAACAAGACCACTTGCCTCTCAGTGCCTCTGCTCTGTCTCCCAAACGCCATGACTCTCCAAATAAGCCCTCCTTTCCGGGCATCAGCCGTTGTTCCCCGTATTTTAAAGGAAGGCAGAGCGATGTTTGTCAGGAATCATGAAGCCTGAAACCCCCCCGGCTCCGTGCCCCGCCGCCCTTCCAGCAGCTCACACGGTTTTTCTGTCTCCCTGTGTCTGAAAAGCCGGTGCAGAGAAGAATCTGCCGGTCCGTGGCCAACACCCCCACCCAGCGTTTCAAGGGGGAATATATTCTTTGCATTCGGGACAGAGCTGCTGATCTCATGTTTGCTGCTTGAATCTCCACTCTTCTTACCAACAGAAGCCAAAAGTTGTAGTGTTTGCTGTATTTGAAGAAGTCTTGCTCTCCATACAGAGTGACAACATTTTGGGTATCATTTTCCAGCCCACCACCGCGAACTCTTCAAATACAGCTTTCAGTTTTCCTCTGTGCTGTAGAGGGATTGCGAAAAGATGTCACTTCCACGGGATGAATAGTGGTGTTTGCCTTCTTTGTCTCATGTTAATCAGCACAGGACAATCAGCAAGTGGGGCATGCTAATGTCAGGGAAACTGTTGAATAGGAGAGCTGGTGCCAGAGAGCTTATAGGGAAAGGTCTAGGAAGTAAATGATTCACCATCACTCTATCTCGCAATTTCACTAAAATGTTACTAAAATGACATGTCATCCTAACGTTGTTCACGTCACTTTGTGTGTCACACTTTGCCCAGACAACACAGGATTCCCATGCTTTGCTGTGTGAAAAGCGTCTTTCTCCGTGAGTTGGCCGTGAACCTTCCTTTGCTCCCACGCCAAGGTGTGTCACCACAAAACCCAGAACTCACACGTTCATGAAAAATGTCCCCAGCCGTACACAAACGTAAAAATTCTGTAACCTGCTTTCACATTTTGGAGATGTATCTCCCTTTCTCCTCTGACATTACCACACGATTTAGAAATACCTGCAAGGACGTTGTGCTCAGAGATCAAACCTGAACTCCTGCACTTGTGTAAGGTTATTTAAGGCTATTTAATACAAAGGGCAAGAAAATTAAACACCTAGAGACACAAACTTTAACGACCAGTGACAATGACAAAGACCACGAACCTTAGGATACTGGTTGATGGGCCATTAAAGGAGCTATCCAAGTGTAGATTCCAAGAGGTTCTACCAGACACGGAAAGAAAAGGACATTAACATGGATTGTCAGAAAGGATGTCGTAAGAAACAACAAAATGATTATGAGATGTTGGAGGTGTGTGTAGGAATCTTCAGAATTTATTATGGGATGATTAGAGGCAGGATCATTCTCAGGGAAAGGTATAATTCGCTTCTTTGGGAGGATCTGGGAGGAATAAATACAAGGAAGTGGAGGAGGGAGGTGGGAAGCGTGCCAGATAAGAGATAAAGTCCCCAGGGCACACATCGCCAGCCCTGAAGATCGCGTTACATCACGACTACTCTTACAGACTCTGGGCAAGATCTGGCCAGGACACATACAAGGTACCGATGATGCACATAGCTGCCCTTGAGACCAAGTCTTCCTTCCTTCCTTGGATGTGTCTTTCTCTCTGGTTTCTATCGTTATCAGCAACACAGAAGCTTGTTGTAAAAACAACTATAGGTTGAGTACATCAGTAGATGAAGTTGGTTGGGAATGCGGTTCCTCATTCACGTCATGGAGAAATAACAGTGGCACCTGGTATCCATTTGCTTGTGCCCTCACCAGTGCTTCTACGCAGTCCTTGGAACCTCAGAGAGAGGAAGGTGGACCTGTAACCTTGCTTTACTGTAAATCCTTGGCTCCACTAAGGCAGAGAACAAATCCAGGTGGAGAATATTTCACTTCATTTCTGAAGAGGGACATTATCCTTCAGCTTCAGGTGTAGAAGGGTTTAAAAGGAACAACGATCCTTAACAGAACTCTTAGCTTCAATAATATCTTTGTATATCAGAAGTTGTTGCCCTTAGATTGAAGGTCACACTCTTTCAGATTGTAGAGAAACGTAAAATGAAGTAAATCACTTATTCATTGGATAGCTAATGACTCCGTCTTCCATTGAGTTACAACAATAAAATGAGTGTGTATGGAAAAGCCTCACAGGAAAAGCAAGAAGTAACTGTGCTGCCAGGTGAAGGTACAATGTGTGTAGGACAGACTAAAGAACCATAGCCATAATATTACATAATCTGCATAAATTTGTCAGAGAATTTGCTTATCTCCTTAAACACATAGTGATGTTGCAGGCTTTCTTGATTTTTTGTTTAGTGATAATTCCTTTACCCTAAGAACGTTGTTTAAAATAAACAAAACCTAGTTCTTCTTTAAAAGACTCACACCTTAAATCTAGGAAAGAGCCACGGCAACATATTTTGCTCATTTCCTGTTGGGTCTCCACGTTTAAGGACGTTGGGTCTCCACGTTTAATTCCTAAAAATAGAATTCTTCCCGCATTTCTGCATTCTGAGCAATTTCAGTTTCAAAATCCCCTGCCTGGTCTTCAGTCTGGGAATTCAGATCATGCGAGTGAAAGCTCACTGTTCCCAGGTCATGTTTGGCTCTCCCCGATAAAAACTTCTGCACCATCCCTGGAGCCACTGCCCCGCAGCTGTGAGAACCGCCTTCCCTGGCACGCCCTGTGGCTCGGGAGGAACATTCCCTCAGAATGAAAGCACAGATGCTTTCCAGAACCAGTGTGCTTTCCATGGCCGAGTGCAAGGAGGGAGCCACACTATCCTTCCCAGCCAGCTCTCAGGACGAATTTCTTCTTACTCTTCTGGCACTCTGAATCCCCAGCGCTCCCGCAGAGCTTCTGCCCTGAGCTCCTCAGCTGGATGCAAAAGTGATGAAAGTCGGGAGAATCATTCCGCACCTCCTGGCTCTCCTTTATATGACAAATACTACTGGTATATATCCTATTTGTGGTTTACTGAGAGACAAACCAGCCTCCTCTCTGCATTCAGTCCAGTTCATGCTTCCCCAATCACTCTGTTAAACGTAAACATTTATTTCTCGCGGTACTAAGCCGATGCTTACCAGCCAACGGGCTCTGCCTGACTCCATATTCCCCAGGAACGGTGTACTGCATCAGCAGGCGGTTACAGCCTGGGTGACCTTCTTCCTCCTTCACATTCCCAATTCTGTCGTGTGCTCTTGGAAGTTCCAGACGGTTCTTGATGCGGCAGATCCCTTAGAAAGCCTTAGAACTGGGGTGTATTCCAGAGCAAGCAGGATATTTCGGCTGGGCTCTCAGCTAACGTCAGCCGTGCAGCATCTGGCTGGTGCTCACTGGTTTCTCACTGCCCGGCAGCGGCACTGGGCGTCCAGAGCAGGAACTACACATGGGCGTCTACCCGCCAGCCTCAGCACGCCCCTCCTCCGTCAGGTGTTGCCTATTGCTAGAGTAAATTATGGAATACACTTCCCACCTGAAGTATTTGGCAAATACACACTTACTTAGTACTTACTGAGACATCTCTAGCACTAAGAATCCAAGACAGTACGAAACGTCCTGAAGGTGTCCTATACAAACATTGTGTTAAATGTTCTTGACAAAGATGTGTGCTACGGGCAAACGTTGGGAGACTGCTTGTGCATTGTACAGAACATATTCTAGAAGCAGAGAGATAATCTACAAGTTTTCAAGCACACACCAGTTGCAGGAGGCTCAGAGCTTTGGATACTTTCTTTTTCACAAGAGAATCTCTAGCTGCTGTGTGTTCTCCCTAAGGTAATCTGAAGTGAAGAATTAGCTCAGTATTAATATCAATATATTTCCTCCTGTGTAATAGTACTTCATTTCTACTAACATCAGTTCTCGAGGATATTTGCTCTGAAATCTCTCCAGAATATCTTCCAGATTGGAGAATGAAGAGAAATCCCCTGCTTCAAATGTCTAAACTCATATACGTTCTCAGAGAAATTCTGATAGATACAGTCTTTAGTCTCCAAAGATAATGCTGGACAGAAGATACCAGCCAAACATCTACCCATACTTTTTCCATGTGCCTTATTTGGAGGAAGGAATTCTCACTTTTATCTCTTCAGTCCTGGTAGTTTTCAATGCTTATTTTAAAATGAACCCTTTTCAGCTTCAACATTTTGCTACTACTAATGCCTTCTGGAGCCAACTAAGTAATTACTCTCATCTTTGTAAATTTTGTGCTCAGTGAGATCCAGTTTCTTCATTCTTACTCCTACATCAAATATACAGCAGAAAAAAAGTTCTTCATAAATTCCTAGAACAGCATGTTTTCATGGTGATCTCAAATAGCCCACAAATAATATTATAATCTCTAAGTCTATGTTAATATATCTCGTGGGGAGAAGTAATATCTATTAAGATTGTTTTTTCCACTTTTTTTTTTTTTAATACAATTATTTTTTTATGACTGCTTCCACAGTTTTCTGGAGTGACAATTTCAGTTGACCAGGAGGAGATACACATGGAAAAGTTATGTGATAAAGAGAAAAGCACTAAGTTGCTAAGTAATTCAAGCCCACTGTATCAATAGTTCTGGCTTTCCAAATTTTCATGAAGCAAAAGAGGAGAGTAAGGTGATAGTGACATTTGCGTAACCTTGAAAATGAGTTCAGGGACAGAAGGGCCACAAAGAAATCACAGGAAAAAAGAGCAAGAAAATTCCAACTTGTGGACAAATGTTTCTCCAATTCACTACCTGAAGATGGTGAATAGGAGTGATTGAAGGAAAACCGGTGAGCGACATAGCAAATAAAAGAGAAATACACAGATTGTATGCTGTTTTGGACACGGAAATTTCCTGTGTGCATTTTTCAATGCACAAAACAGGAATGAAAGGACTTGGGGAGAGATTGGACTGGGAAAGACTAATTTTGAAATTCTAGCTGGTCAACTGAGAAGGAGAGCTTGAAATGAGAAGCAGATTTGGAAGTGAAGAAAAGAAAGGGAAAGGAGAAGGAGAGATAGCGATGGTTAGAAGAGGGAAAGATGCCATGAAAGAGAGCCCAAGAGAAAACAAGTATGAACCTGCTTGGATGCCAAAGCTGATTAAGGAGGGTAAAGAAAGGGAAATGTATGTAGTATCCATCCTGAAGGGAACTTAGGAGGAGCTTGTCAGTGTAGCATCAGTAAGAAAAAAATCATAGTGGTCATTATCAAAGGGAAAATTGGGTTCAATCATTGAAAAGGACATGGAAAAATCTGGAGAAAAGAAGGAAGGGAGCAGAAACAATCTCAAATCAAAGCAGGGGTATGGATCAGAAAGGAAATGAAATGCACATAAAAGAAGAAGGAACAAAACTATTAGGAGAGGGAGGTAGGAAGAAAAGCTGAGATACAGACTTGTGGTTTGTGCCTGTCCTTCCCCCATTCCCAAGATTGTGTGAGGACCTAGAATCTCTCTTTTTCATCTTTCTACCTCAGAATGTCTCTATTTCCACTCGGGGAGCAAGAAAATTAGCAGAATGTATCAGCAAAACAAAGGGAACCTTGGTATTCTAGCCAGCCTAAGAGGATGAACTGCACAGAGAAAGCAATCAGCAGTGCTCTACTTCCTCAGTCCCCTGATGCCAGTCTTGGTCATCTTTAAACCTGTTTCCCCAGTTCTGTAACCCCTGGTTTTCATTCTCAGTAAGTGCCATGAAAACATTGAGAAAATGGAAACACCTGGTCCAGTGCTACCTAAAAGGGAGGTCAGTGGTCAAGCATAACTTCATGGACAGAGTAGTCACTGTCTGGAAGGAAAACAGAGCTTCTGAACAGAGATTTTCAAAGGAGAGAGAGAGATCAAAGGAGCTGTCACGTTTACTCATGTCATAGACGAACACAGATTTGGGTCAACACAAGGGCACCCTGCTTAACATCTACTGATTCTGAAGATAGTAGTGAATAGTCCAGTGGTTCACAGTCTCTAAGAGGCCAATGCTATTTTTAAACCAAATCTAGCTAAATGGTAAGGTCATTTTAATCCCAGATCAAAAGAAATTTGGCTTATGCTTTGCAGAAGCAGCAGAGATCTCCTGTGTTGGGAAGGTAACTGGGAAGACAAAGGCTTTTTATGCCCCCTGTTTAAGTCCTGCTTCTCTGTCCTCAGCTACAGGTCTCCACATCTCACATTACAGTTCCAGCAGCAGCTGCAGACCAGGTCACTGACACAACTAAACCATCCCCAGAAACACAGAGTGACTTGTGAACTTTATGGCACATTTTGACACAAAATAGTGAGATGTGGGCTCTGAGTATGTCAGGATAAACCATGGTATCTTCACTGTTTTATTTCATACATGTTGTATCTTGAGAAAATTGAACTGTACAAAGCTGTCTTTCTTTCTGAGGATGTTCTGACATTCTCTGTACTGCTGACTGATGACATGTAGATAGTCTTTCTTTCAGATTATCTATGGGCCTTCCAGAACAGAATTTATCCATCCTATGGGGAGAAATCCAGACAGGATTTGTTTATCTTTTAGGCAACAGGCATATATTCACATCAATATCACATTTAGGAACAGAGTGGACACAATATGCAATGAAAAACTGAACAAAAATTGAAGATAATGCACATGCACACACACTCACATGAAAAACGAATTATTATAAAGCAAACAAATATGAAAGCAGTGCATTTAGCAGGTACTGATGAAGTTTCATTACAGTTAATTTACTTTCCGAAGAATTTATACTTGGACAGGTGCAGCACTCCTCTTATGTCAAGATTCTTTGACTTCTGGACTCATAGTTCTGCAGAAATATATATATATATATATTTAATTAAAATGATGAGATTCCATCAATGGAGTAGAATGCTAATGGAAAACAACCTGTAGTTTATAGGTCGTCATATATAAAAATATTATCTTCTCAGGAGCAACAAGAAGGTGATGGGACTTGGGCACAGACAACCCTGGGCATCAATTACACGCAGTTTCAAATCCACCAGCAACTGGGTCCAGCCCTGCCCTGCCCTGGTTTGCCCAGGATGGAGCAGGGGCAGTGGGGCTGGAGCTGCTGTCCCGTCCCTGGCTGGGACGGGATATTCTGCTGCAAAACCTGCTGCGCGCCGGCGGAGGGCAGCCGCCACCAGGGAAAGAAACCGAGCCGTGAATCTGCAAGTCATGAAAAGGAAGTGCTGAAAACGGCTTGGAAACAACCGGGCTCCGCATCAGCTGGTTCGTCTAGGGCAGGGTCCTCCGGAGACAGGCAGGTCTCTTTATCTATTTATCTATTCATCCGTCTATCCATCCATTCATCCATCTATTTATTGGCGTCCTTGTCCACAGGAGCTGACTCCTGTTAGCTGCTTGGTAGCTGATGGAGAAGAGCACACCCTCAGATCTACAAAACAAGCTCAAATCGAGAGTTTTAGGCTCAGAGTGTGAGGCTGGAGAGAAATGGGAATTACGGGGCATTAGTGAGGCAGTAAGACTTTGAGGGGGGACCTGGTATTCTGAAACGACCTGGGTTTGGGAGGGGATGTAGATCATAGAGCAGCCATGGAGATCTTTTTAACCCTTGGGGACCCTAGCGCTGGCTTCCTGCCCTTGCCACGGATCAAAAATGAAATTAAAACAGTATTGAGCAGTGTGATGGTTCCCTCCAGCATTGGGACTGCAGGGCAAGCAGGAACAGCAGTCAGTTTAAACCCTGGGAATCAGGGATTGTTGTAACAGATATCAGAGCTGAATAATCTCTTAGTTTCCTTCCCTGTCAAACTAGAGTGTGTCTAATGCAGAAAATATTTATACTATTTTAAATTCACTTGAAGAAGTATGTCCACATTCATTACCATTTGTTTATATTATGGTTTAGTCTTTAGAGAAGACAAAGAAATGGGATTTAGAGAGAGAGAGTTTTCAGGAGTTCATATCTATAATATTACTAAGCACACTTCAATTTACAGTGAAATTTACAGAGTTATCCATAAGTGACTCATAAATTTGAAAGATGTTAAAGAAAATGCACCTAAAAAAAGTTTATGTGAAGATTTTTTGATAAGATTAGGTCTGTGGAGGCATTTAATGTCAAGAAGTTTCAGTCAAGGTACAGTAACTACATGTGATTTTTAAGCAATAAATTCATGCTCTGTAAATCTCCTATGAGATCTATAGAGATCTCCACAAAGAGTTTTGTCTCATTTTGTTTTCTTCTCTTTAACAGAGTTATGTACAAAATAAATAAGTAGAGCAAACTTGTGCTTCACAGTACAATTTCAGTTCTGTTCAGGATCGGTTTATTGCTTAATACTGCATGGACTGTACAGCTTTAGATCTCTAGGTCAGAAAAACAAAACAAAACAAAACAAAAACAAAAACAGGTAAAGATATTTGAAATGTAAATGGGCAGTATGTTTTGTATTGTGTTAAAGAAGAGGAAAATATATCTGTATATACATAAGACTTCCATTGCTGAAGAAAATTGT